AGGAGGAGGTAAAGGAGCTGCCCACACATTGCTCTGAGGCCCTGTGCTGGTTTAGACCAGTTAGCTATGACCACGGCTGTGCTAGCTAGGCTCGGCCCCACAGAAAACTAGGGAAAGAGCCTGAGGCTATAGCTCAGGAGGACTCTGGTTTTGTTGTTCACAAATGGTTGTGCTCAGATCTGGTAGTTTGGCAGTGGTTAGCTTCCAACTCGTTTGGTTGTTTAAAACTGGCACTTGCCATGTAGCTCAGGCTGATCTTGAACTCCTATGTAGACGTGGCTGGTTGAATCGACAATGGTCTTTGCCAGTCTGATTCCCAAGGAAAGGTATTAGATGTGAGGAACCCCTAATCTCATGCCCATGGTCTATAAGTTGCATTTGTTTGAGAATTAGGCCCCAGGTCTCAGTGTAAAATGACTCAGGGGAGTAACTCTCTCTAATTCCATCTAAGGCAATACTGTAAAACTTTGTGGAAAGAATGCCAGCTGGGTCCTGAGGTCTGACATCTGGGTCCAGACCTTCTGGACCCAGCCATAATCCCTTTGGCCATGTGGGTTCTATATTTATAACCAGGCTAGTACTAGAAAGAGTGGGAAGGAAGGATGAAAGATGAATGGTACTTTTAGATAAATGACTGTGGGTTCCTAGGCCTGGAAGAGAGAAGACCCATGGGGACTTCAGGAAGGTTAATTAACAGGGCTGCAGGACAAGGCTCCAGCTCCTGACAATTATCACTGCTTCCACCCCACTGGAATTTCTAAATTTTAGAAAGGCAGGCATTACCTAAAATTCTCTTCACATTCCTTCCCCAGATCACAATGACTAAACCACCCAGGGAGTACCCGTGGTTACAATGATAGCTTAAACACCAATAGTGCCTAGTTGTTTTGGGGACCACTAGTCTCCAAGATCAGTCAACATGACCATTTGGATCACCCATTGTAGCTAGGGAGGAGCAGTCAGGGAATCACAGAGGTATAGGAGGCATGGGGCACTGGCTTTGCACCCCCCAGGGGGTTGCCACCTGGCTAAGCATGGAAAAGATAAGTTGCTATAGTGCCACAGAGCTTGTGCTGAAAGCCAGGGCAGCAGGAAGCAAGAGGGGAGAAAGCCCCTAGGACAGACAGTCCTGGGGTTGTGAAAGATGAAATTTGAGTATGCTAAAAGGGTGGGAGGACTTCTGAAGGCAGGGTTCAGACTGGGAAGGTCATTTTGTAGGCAGGGGAGAGAAAATGCATAATCACACATTGCTCTTAGAGTCCCATCTTAAGTGATCTGATCCTTACAACAGCCCGTGCTGCAGTAACTGTGGCTTTCCCTGTTTTGTGCATGAGAAGATTCATCCAAAGAGAGGTTAAGTAACTTGTTTGAGGCCACATAGCTAGAGCCTGGTCTATCTGCAGGATCTCAGCTCTTACTTGAGCTCATGATGGGTTTTGAGGACAGGACCCTATTGCTTTCACTGCTCTTGTTGGTTACTGCCCAGAGTTTCTCTTGGACACTTCTGCCACGGCAGGGTGAAGGAGAAGGGTGGATTGCTGTTGGAGCATATTGAGAGTTTTGCAGAGGCTGCCCTGGCTCAAGGCCCTTCAACTGTAGGCGTCACGGCTGATTCACGAGATGGCCATTCACACCCCAAGTATAGCAGTGAAAGCACAGTATGTGAGTGGGCTGGCACCTGCTTCTGGCATTGTCCTTTACTTTGGGTATACTATCTTGTTTTTTGGAGTCAGTTTTCTTATGTGTAACAGGATATAGCTTCCTGTCTCAAAGGGCTGTGGGAAGGTTAAAAGGGACCTTTTAGGCTGGGAATACAGTTAGTGTTAGAATGTTTGCCTAGCATGTGGAAGGCATGGATTTTGATCCCCAGGCCTGCAAGAAAACAAAAGAACAGGCACCGTTCACATAAGTGCACATCACTGTGGAAACTGTCCCCCTTCTCTTAATGTCACTGTACTGTTACCCAAAGGCCATCTGGTGCCCTCTTGCCTTTTAGCCATCAGCATTATAAATGGCTCAGTTCTCTGCAAGTTGCATGGCTTGAGAAAGTCAGAGCTCCTTCCACATTTTTTTGGTCATTCTTGAGGGCTCCAGTTTGGATTCCCCCTTCTCAATCTTCCTTTTTTTTTTTTAATTATTTTGATATTAATTACAGTTTATTTACTTTGTATCCCAGCTGTAGCTCCCTCCAGCATTCCCTCCCAATCCCTCCCTCCCTCTCTCATCTCCTCCCTGCCCCTCTCTAAGTTCAATCTTCCTTTCTATCTTGGATGCAGAATTCACTGATTTTGCTAAAACTTCTGCTTACTCAAGGCAAATTCATGAATGAAGATAGGATAGCTGTCAGTGTGGAGGGCATGAAAGGTGGTGACTTGTCACTTTTCCCTTTCCCTCAAGCAGCAGCCAGCATCACCTGCATTGGTGAAGTTTTTACAGCATGTACAAGAAGCTTTTCGATACACTAGACCTGGGATTGTTTAACGTCAAGGAACTCTGGTATGCCTGGGCTGGAAACCACACATGGACTGCATTGCTTTGATCTTTCCCCTGCCTGTCTCAACTACTCCAATGATCCACCTACACTGCCTCCAAGTCTCCAATCTACCTTCTACTAAACAGGACCCCTATCACCCCCACAGACACACAGCTGCCGTTTTTCTGCTCCCAGTTAACCCTGGGAGCTATAAATCTATACTAGGAATCTTTGTCTTGGAGTGAAACCACCCCCCACCCTTGGCTGCTGGTTCTCTGCAGTTGGGATGCCTTCCTGGACTCATTGTGGTGAGTTCCCAATAAGCCCAAGCCAGGGATCAAGGTCCATGTGTACTGAGTCATGCTTCTCCCTGCTGGGGTCTAGACAAATCAGCAGCAAATTATGGGGTGGGGATGGAGGTGAGGGTTGGGGCTGGGCTGTTTGGGCCACAGCTGTGGCTCCAAATTGCTATGAGGCCCACTGCCTAGTCTTTATTCCAGCAGGAACTGACATCAAACAAATGGGCCCTGATGCGTTAAGTTGTGCATATGGGGAGGGGGACTTGCAGTGGCTGTGCGTGCATTTCTGCATGTAATATATTGCTGAGCACTTGGGACAGAATGAATTCCCTGATTGCAGTATTAGGGGCAGCTGGGAAATAGCTGGTACAGACTTTGCTCTTAATAAACATCCGAGGATGGCTTGTCTCCTCCCTACTGGGTCTGTTAAACCAACTCCAAGCTGGGGATTAGCATTTCTAATGGGCTGGGACGCGCAGCCTTCCGGAGACAGGGATGAAAGATGACATAGTCAGGGGTCCCCAGGGCTCTTAAGAGAGGCAGGTGCTTTGTCTGGCCTCCATTGAATAGAGGTTGGTTTTCCTCAAATAAGATGCTCACTTTGTCTCTCCATTTCTGTCTCCGTGGATGACTCTGCACACTGGCCACTGAACCCCAGAACGCATTCAATATTCACTTCTCCAGTACAGAGAAGAAAACAAATACTTGAATTTACTTAACTACTTTTTTCAAAGAAATAGCAGTCTCAGTCATTCAATCAGCTCACTCACTCATTTAGTCCAATGCCAGGGTTAGTCTCTGGAAGCAGAGGTGGGGAAATATACTCAGGATCTTCAGAGTTTAGTTAAAGAAATAAACAATATCACACATGTCAACCCCATGATGCATAAAATAAACGCTAGGGCGGTACAGTGAGGGGCTCTGAACCCCTAAACAGAGAGCTGTTGGGAAAGATTCCTTGAGATGGTTTCACCTGAGCTGATGGCTGAAGATGTGTGAAGCTGGATAAAACAGTATGTAAGGTAGGTAGTCCCAGCTGTACTGGAAGCTGAGAGAGAATTGCTTGAGCCCTAGAGTTGCAGACTAGCATAGTGAGACCCTGTGTATGCATATATATGTGTATATATACATGTATATGGACATGTAGCCTAGAACAGTGCTTGGAATGGTCTAAAAGATATAATGAGAAAAGCATTTAGAGTGGCCTAGAATCAGAAAGAGGCAGGGTCTGGAATCAGGTTACAAGGCCAGAAGTGGGGAGGAATGTCATGAACAGACCATGGGCTACAATTTGTTCGGTCAATCCTTTTTTCTCAGTACTCTCTTAGCTTGATCCAAAGGTGAGACACTAGCAAACAGACACAAGGAAACAATTTCAAAGATTCTTTGTTAATTTGAGAGTGACATGAAAGTTCAGAGATAATGTGTGACAGTCAGTGAGTTACCTAACAGTTCATGAGGAGACCTACCTGGAAATAAAGGTCGCAGTCAATTTAGGGAAGCGGTGACCCCTCAAGTCAGTGTGAGGTGTCTTAGGAGAGGAAGTTGCCAGGCTGGGGTTACTTGCTGATTCTTTGTTCAAGAGAGTTGGTCTACATTTTGTGTGTGTGTGTGTGTGTGTGTGTCTCTTTGCCTTTGTTTCCCATTTCTATCTATGAGCTATCAGTTCCCTTTCTACAGAGCCTCCTGCTAGCCGCTTACTCCAGGCTAAGGACAAGGAGAGGCTATGCCAGTATCTCCCCAGGCACACAGTGTGGGAAGAGCCATGACGGGGGCACCACTACCAATTCCTCTCCTCGCCCCAGCTTCCCCAGCATGATGCTTTTTAGGTGCACACAGCTACACGGAACCAGAAGGTGCCCTGACTATAGCCATACCAGTCATTCTATACTTAAAACACAAAACTGTAAAAATGAGTTTTCCAAATAAAGAGCAGCTTCTAGATGGGGCTCATATACTACAGAGAATGCTGCCTGGTGCCCATTGGAAAATCCTTTGATTCCTGTCTCCCTTTTTTGGATGTTTGAAGGAGGTTCTTGCTATATAGCCCAGGCTGACCCTGAACTTACTATAAAGCTCAGATCCTTAATCCTCTTGCTCCAACCTCCTGAGTGCAGGGATTATTTGAATGTGTCACTATGTCTAACCCTTAGTCACTTCCGTCATTAATCTTTTGACATCCCTCTTACCTATCATTCAAAGAAAAGAAACAAATCATATGCCTAAGGTCCATTTTGAACAACTTTTATTATATGTTTAGTGTTCTCTATACAAAAGAAATCAGTTTTTTTTTTTTTACAGTGATTCAAAAAAAATCAATAATTTGGCCTTTTCGTTGCTCATGCAGTCAGTTTATAAGTCCATGTATTAGACAGTCCTCCATGGCCCAGAAGTCCCTGCTGAAGGTCTTGCATGACACCTTCAGATACACGTCTGTTGCTGACAAAGTTGGTTAATGACAAATAACTCACAAGAAGGAAAGGACATGATGTGAGAGGGATTAAAGTGAGCCTGCCACAGAGTTAAATGTAACCAATGGGGGAAAAAAAAAGATTAGACCAACTCGCGCGCGTGCGCGTGTGTGCGTGCGTGTGTGTGTGTGTGTGTGTGTGTGTGTGTGTGTGTGTGTGTAGGACTATGGGGCAGAATGAGACAACAGGAACACCACATTGGAAGGGAAAGATGTATATGTAGCTGAGGGGTGGGGCAAGAGGTCCTCCAGGATCCAGCATGGTTGAGGGTGGGACCAGGACAGAGAGTGGCATGTCACAGTTGACTGATACTCAGCTCAGAAGAAGTTGGCAAAGAGCTGGGAAGCCGGGTACAAGAAAACACTGACTGAGGACATCACATTTGAGACTCAGAAGAGCAAACAGGTCAGTGTCATCTGATCTGCTACAACTTTGAAAAAGAAACAGGAGTGCACAAAATTCTGGATATCTTCTCCCAGACTTTTGTGTTTATTGCTTCACGGAAGTCTTTACATCTGCTCGGCAGATTCCAGGGTGGTAGGCTTGCCTGGGCCCTGCTATCCCTCAGCACCTGCAGACTCTGTGATTAAGGGCAGAATGGACAGAGACGCCCTCCACGCCCTCTCTTCTGAGGACAACAGTATGCTGAAGGCCTGGTGTGTGATGAAGCAGAAGACATCATTCTGGGGCCCAGTCCAGTTTTCACAGTAACAAAACACCTATCAGCTCATCATTCTACCTTCTGGGCTTGGGATGCCTGGAATTCCCTGGCTGAGTTAACCACACGCTATCACAGACTAGCTGATCTCAGACTTAGGAAAAACATTTTTTTGTTGTTCACTGGAAGAATCTGGGGACAGCAGTGTCATGGTGGAGAGAGATGATGGGGCGATAAGCAGGACTGGTCTCAGGCAACACCTGCTCAGGCAGCTGTGGTGAGATGAAAGAACACTGGACACGGAGTCAGAAGGCCCAGAAGGCCCGAGTTCAAGTCCTAACTGCACCCTCACTGCCTAGATTTGCTCCCTGCACTGGCCTTTCCTTGTCTGTACAGTGAGTCATTCCAATTAGCTCAGCTCTGAGGTTCCTTCACATGAGGAATCCGGTTCTGTCCTAAGCCAGATGCCTTGGTTCTGCTTCATTTCCATCTCCCTTTTCATGCAGCAGCGTTTTAATACTAACATGCTGATAAGAGCAGCACTGGTTTGCCGCTGTGGCTGGAGATAGCTCGGTCGGTCTTGCGTTTTCCCTGGCACTTGTCCTTCTCTCTCTTCTCCTGAATGTGCCTCTGGAAGTCCCCTCCTAAGAAGAGGAAGCAAAGCACCGACACTTTTCTGGGCTTAGGCTGTGCTGGGTGGAGACAGCCACAGGTCTGGTTTTAGGCATTTAACCACTGAGTTGAAGGTTGAAGGGAAGCTCTGCCCAACCTGCCTGCATTTCCCAGGGCAACTGAAACTCCTGACACTCCATATTCTTAGTCACTGGCTTCAGACTTCTTGTTTTGGATTGGGAACTGCCTACATAGGATTTCTAGGCTACTATGTGAAATTCACACAAGGGCTTTTGCTTCACTAGAAAGAGAGCACTGTGGCTAGCTGTGTGGACCTAATCCTGGCCATGGGCTTGGATTGGACAGACTTGGCTGGAGAATGCCCCAGTCCAAGGTGACAGAAGTGAGGAATGGGCTCTGAGCTGCATTCTAGCAACTTGCTATCCTCCCTCTGAGAGGTGAGTCTGGGCCTCAATCCTAGACCATGGAGGTACCAAGAAGCTTCACCTCTCAGAGCAACAATGAAACAGCCTCATAGAGCGAGAAAACTTTGCCTCCCCATCAACAGGCTGTAAGGGAGGCTCTAGGATAGCCTGGCTTAGGAGAGGCCAGGAAACATGGAGGCCTATTTGTCTCTCCTTCATATCTCTCTCTGTCTCTCTCTTTTTTTACCTTCTGTCTACAGGAATCACAAAAATAAGGCCCAGTCTGGAGAGCCTCTCCCTTCCTAAAGCCACCTCCTTCCCCAAGCCTTGGCAGCTCATCTCATGTGAACCCAGATACAGACTCTCATGCTGCAAGATGATGTCATATCTGGACTGTTCCGTACGGAAGCACCGCTCTGCAATAGGTTCTGGGTCTGCTATGTGTTTGTGTGTATGCACAGCTGTGTGGTGGGTGGGGAGGTGGTCTCTACAAATACCCATGAATGTTTCCATTCTCTTCTCAGTGCTGACTGTGTTCAGGGAGCCCAGGAACAGGCTCTCTTATTCCCCTTGTGGGGTGAGTTGAGTCACCGGCTGACTCTTGGCCCAGTGATCATTTCAGACCTTGTTTTGGGGGGGGGGTCCCACCTACACTGACCTCTGGGGCAGAGGAAATAGGTAAGGGCAGGTGCCAACCTGGCTTTCCCTCTAGTGTCAACTCTAGTGTCAAACTCCGCACGAGAAGAGACTGATGTGTCCTGTTTGGCATATCCCAGGTAGGGTTGGACAGTCAATCCTGATGAGTACCACTATTCACCTCTGAACAGGAGTATTCAAAGAGGGGACTAAATGGGGAGACAGACACCCTAAAGAAGCACAGCACTGGCTTAACCCACTCATCTTGACTGCCGTGTCCTGCCCAGATTTTCTGGCTCCATGGACCAAGTTGTCCCTTCGAACTCTCTCCCTTCTGACCTGAAGCAATCAGCAGTGCAAGAAAACAAGTACAAAATACTTTCCACTTAATGGCCACTGCATCCTAGTAACTCATCTACTCGTTTCCAGTAACATCAGCCCTGTGTGGGCAGGGACCACATCTGACCTCCCTTGTTTATGTGGTTTTCAGGACTCAAGCCTTTGCCCAAACTAGATGCTCAGAGCATTTGATAAACACTCAGGATCACTGCAAGATGCCCCACACCCTTCCCCTGCTCCCGCCAGACAGGTGAAACACTAGCAGGACTAAGCATCACTTTGTGATGGCTGCTGGAGATCCAGATGTAGAAAGTGGCAATACTGTTTTCCCGCTGAGTTTGGGGGTAGACTCTTGCAGGCTCTGTGGAAAGTGGCCTCTCCCCTTCCTGGAAGATCTTGTCCTTGCAACCTCACATCACTGAGCCTGGTCTGCCCAGGCACCTGCCATCTCTACTGCTTCTCCAGCCCCAGGTCTGTTCCTGCAAGGAGAGCTGTGATTGGTGGTGGTTGGGCTAGCTATCAGCACCCACAAAACAACAGCCCGAGGGAGGGGCTAATAGCCTATATAAAGGAGGACGGTACTAAGCAGGACAGAATTCTGGGATGAAGCACAAAGAGCCTTAAGGATTCAGCTCTCCCTCAGAGCCTTAAGACCAAAGTAGCCCTCTCCAGGCTGTCTGTGGCAAAGAGATAGCTACAGTGACATCTACGAGTCTCTTCCTCTAACAGCCTGCTCTTGGTGCAATGGGCTTACTAGCTGGATGTGTAAACCATGCCTGAGAAACTGATCACTCTGCCCAGATCCAAAGTGTTTTCTGGAAAGGATGATCTTTTATTCCAGCTATCAGGTACATTTCCCCAACCTCCCCTTCAGGAATGGTGACCTATACTGCAGGAATGCCCAGCTGCATTCAAGAGGTGCTAGACTAGAGCCAGGGAAGGGGACCTTAACATTTGCCCAGCCCTAGCTGTTCTCTGTTTACCCTGTCTCCTTTCTCCGTGAGAGCCGTCTGCTGGCCATGGGTTGGTCCAAAGGACCATGACACACTCTCAGGTTCAAACATTATTGGCTCATCTCTGGGATATGGTTTCTTACCTGCAAAGAGTGTGTGCCTACAGCCTTGACCTTCAACCTAATGCTTATCAAGTGATGCGAGCATAGCTAATACCTCTGTGGCTTAAACGTATGGCAAATGATGCTTTCAGAAAGGCTCGGAAGGGCACAGCCCTGGGCCTGTCCAGGCCCCTAACTAGTAGCTCAAGTTGGAGGCCTGCCAACGGCAGGTGATCCACTCGCAGCAGTCAGTCTTGCCCTGCCACAGCTGCCCCAGGCTGCAGACACAGCTACAGGCCACACTCTGGCTCAAGGTCTCCCATCTCTGTGTCGCTGAGGCAAGGTACCTTTGGTTTTAAAAGTGGGTTAGGTGGGGAATGAAGGCAGCACCTTCAGGCTGAGAACTGCACGCCTGCGAGTGTCTCCATTAGGGTGGTTGGGGTGGTGGCGGTGGTAAGGGCATGTGTGGAGTGGCTGCTTCTGGTCCCGAGGGGACACTTGCATAGGCTGCCCTGGTCCCGAGACACACACATCACTGGAGGCATCAAGGCTTGCAGAACAGGGCTAGGGATCTGAAAACTGCAGGGTTAGATCAGAGCTGCATAAGGCATACGAAGAGCTTTGTGTCCTTCCAGGCAGGGGCATCACAGCACTGTTAATATGGTACACCTCATGGTCCCCTGATATGTATGTTTACCCTAATGAAAGGACAGATAGGCTCAGTCTGTGGGCAGCAGATCCCCATTCATATACCACATCAAACACAAGTCAATGTCAGACACAACCGAGCAAGGAGAGGATGGGAGGGGGAGCAGCACTGTTACCCCCAGATACATCAGCCACACCCTGTATCACAGAGTTCCAGCGCTTGGAGGGTAGCAGCATAGACCCTGACAGGTGGGCAAGTGTGGTCCTCTCTCCTCCATTCCGGGTTTCACTGCCAGAGACAAAAGAGGTCCCTTTCTTTTCTCCAGAGATTTGCTTTGTTACCAGCAAGTCACATCTTGACTTGCTTCTGCTTGGGGCCCAGTTGCCACAGTCCTTCTTATCGGCACCTATTCTTCTTTCTCTTCTGTGCAGCTCATTCATAGACTCTCTGGTGGCAGGGGCAGAGTAAAAACAAGGAGCAAGAGGTAAACCTCCTCACAACCAAACCAGAGCGTGGAAAGGAGTCCTGCTCACCCTCTCCCTGCCAAAAACACTGTCATTTTCCAGAAAGGAGCCAAGCCCGGCTCAGCATGGACAAGGCCGAGGCAGATGGCTGGGGAGTGGGGGTGGGGGAGGCATATGGCAAAAGGCATCCTTCGGAAACACACCGGCCTGGTGGCAGCTTGAATACTACAGCTTTTCTGCATGTTGTGTTATGGATCAATTCTTTTTGCCCATCTTTCCATTTTCTGGGGGGAGGGGAGCCCACTTACTCTTTTTCTAGGAACATTTCTTTTTTTCAAAAGCAAAAGAAAATTGAAACAATGGGTTGGAAGGAGAAGATGCACAAAGCAAAAAATAGATAATGAAAAGACTGTAAGCAATAGAAATGGAAAGTGTGAGTTGAGATCAAGGGTGATCATTGTGACGGAATGCTCAGGGTGGCCGTGAGACGGGGCAAAGGACTAGGGCTCCCTCCAATGAGCGTAGCTCTAGCTTTCCCATCTACTGGCACCCAAGCGCATCGGGGCATCACCAGGAGGGGCTTGTGGACAGCTGTGAGGCCACTGGTCCTCACAGCTTGGCAGACCCCTATGTTGTACCCTTGTCCCTGAAGGTGGTTGTGGCTTTGTGGTAGGTCTGCAGTTGCTTTATCTCCCCCTCTCCCCTCCTACTTGCAAAGTAGTGCCATTCCTGGGGTGCTCCATCAGGCCAGAGAATAGATGGCATTGACCGGTGATGTGGCCTCTGAGCTCTCATTGCCCTCTGTTTCCTCCTTGTCCTTTTTGACTGTGTACTGGCCGATAAAGGAGCCATCTTCATTGAACTGGCCCTCACCACCTTCACCGTAGTCCACCAGGCTGTCATCGCTCTCTTGCTGCTTGATGGTGCCGTCCAGAGATGTCTGGCTGCCCTGCAGGGGCTTGTTGTCCTCATCACTAGCCAGAGAGAGACAGAGTCAGGTTCATACTGGCCAGCACAGCCCAAAACAGGTGGAATAGGATAGGGCAGCTGGCTTCCTACCAAGCACACAGTGCAGGAGGATGAGTCTTGGAAACCATCCAGTGTTTACCCTCCCTTGCTCAGCAGGTTCTACAAAAGGGGAACTGAGGCTCAGAGAGAATAAGCATTTTCCCCAGGGTAGATGGCATGCTGGGGAAAGATCAGAGAGTAGACACTGTACTTCTAAACTCCTTGTCTGAGGTCCTTTCCCAGAGACAGGCCGCCTCTCTGTGGCAGGAGTGGGCAGAGGATGGCTATCTTATGAGAAGCAGAACCACAGCTTGTGAGACATGTGCTAAGAATCAGGGGGTTCTAGTTCCCATGAGTCTCATCCTTTGCTTTGTGATTTGACTATAACCTGTCCATCAAGAGTCAAAGGTGGAGCTTCCATGGCCTGTGAGTGGGACAAGTCTCCCCTCTTAACGAGAAGTGAGCACCCTAAGGAAACTGGCTCTGCCTTCCCACATCCATCTCCGCATTGCTTGCCCTGGGAAAGCAACACTAATACTTGGAGCCCAGCAAGTCAACAAGGTGGGGGGTGGGAGGGAGGAGAAGCATGTGAGGCCTGAGGGTCTTATTAGCCCCTTCTAGGCCCTCCTGGGTGACAAGAGTCCAGGGCCTTGGAGATATAGTGGCATTGGCCTGCAAGAACAGATGCCCAGGCGGTATCTCAACTTTACTCTCTAGCTTACTAGGGACTGCTCCATGGAGCTGGTGTGGCCCCCTTCCTCCTGGCTAGAAAATTTCTTGACAGAAAGACCAGGTGCTGTTGGTTACATTTCACAGGAGACACAGGCTCCCAGGCAGGAAGCAGCTGTGGGTGAGCAATAGAGGTCTAGAGGCCTGCAGAAGGAACTACATTGGTGCCAGGCAGTCTGAGTGGATACAGCACACCCTCCACACTCTGAGCCATCAGTCCTTCCCTGGTCATTTTAACAGTCAGTATGTTCTAACAGCAGACTCGGGTGGACCGCTACCAGGAAGGGGCCTTAGATGGAGCTGGAGCTGAGCATAAACAGATGGGGACCAGATTGCCAGGCAGTTGGCTAGACAAGGTGCTCCTTCATTCAAACCTCCTTAGGCAAGGCCCATTCTTCTAGACCAAGGACCCTTTCCCACAAGGGCCCCCACATGCTGTATTCTCTGACCCTGTGGGGCTGTCTCTGTCTATGGGTGTGTTTAGCTGAAGACCCTGGATCTTGCATATGAATCCCCTTAGACAGTGTTCATGGGGTGAACATACACCCCTTCTGCCCAGGGCAAAAATGTTGAGAAGGGGGTGGAAATGCAGAATCTTTTCCTTGAAGTACTCACTTTTTTTGTTTGTTTGTTTGTGTTTTTTATTTTGTTTTGGTGTTTGTGGTTTTTTTTGTTGTTGTTTTATTTTTAAGACAGGTTTTCTGTGTAGCCTTGGACTCACTTTGTAGACCAGGTTGGCCTCAAACTCACAGAGATCTGCCTGCCTCTGCCTCCAGACTGCTGGGATAAAAGGCCTGTGCCACCACTGCCCTCGAGGTGCACACTTCTTGTCAAGAGCAGAAATGTGTCCTGTAGTCTGAGACCATGGGTGCTCCATCTCTTGTTGATGACGAGTTACAGCCAGGTCACAGAGCTGCTGGCCCATGCCTGCCATTTGCTCAGTGAAGGTGCCCTAGGACCGTGGCCTATCTGTGTGCTCTGACTGCAGTGCCACAGAGGGACAGTGGCAGAATGAATCTTCAGGACTGAGCTGAGTTTGAGCAGGAAGTGAGACTGCAAACAATCCATTCTGTCAGGTTCCTCCCCCAACATGCCACCATGCAATGGGTGGTCTAAGAGGACTCTCATACTGACTCCAGAGACTTGAGCTAAATGCACTTGCAGGCAGAGAGGGAGCTTAGCAGAGTCAGAGACTTCAAGATGTGGGGCTCTTGAGAGGAAAGGGGTCTTGGTGTAAACAGTGGTCCTTAACCTTCCTAATGCTGCGACCCTTTAATATAGTTCCTTATGTTGTGGTGACCCCCAACCATGAAAGTATTTCTTTGCTACTTCATAAGTGTAATTTTGCTACTGTTATGGATCGTAATGTAAATATCTGGGTTCTCCTGTGGTCTTGGGCAGCCCTGTGAAAGGGCTGTTTGATCTCCTTTACCCCGCAAAGGGATTGCAACCTACAGGTTAAGAACCGCTGGTCTAGAAAAATGGGAGGCTTGAATGAAAGGGTACCTGGTCTAGCCCACTGTCTGGATGTCTGGTCTCCCAGAGACTTGCAAGGTCCAAGAGGACAAACATGGGGAAAAGGCAGGGCCTCATGAGAAAGGTATCCAGCAACAAAGCCAAGAACAGAATAGGAGACCCCACTGCTTGCTCTCAGGCCCCTTCTCTTAGAAACTTAGTTCTTCTGACTTAGAAATTTTAGCCTTTTCCCAGTAGGGCTCCTGGATTCATTCAACATAGGCTCTAGCAGAAGAGCCCACAGAGCCAAAGCTGGCCTGGAGCAGGGAAAGGTGCAGGTAGAAACAGCTTGTCCTGTCCTCACCCCAACTCCACAGAACTGTACCAAGAGCATGGAGAAAAAAAAAAAAAAACAACCCATAGCATTTTTAACTGAGGGCCAGAGGTAGCTCTCAACCCACAGGGAGGCTGGACCCTGCCAGGTGATCCCTGGACAGCTACAGAGGGAGGAGGAGCCTCTTACAGGGATTGTCAGGCTGGATGGACAGCTGCGGCCAAAAGCTGCCAGATGGCTTCTGGGCAGGCAGCAGCTCTCTACCCATTGGCCTGGTGTTGTTTGCCAGGCTTCTGAAAGGAGGAGAGGTCAGAGGACGCTGGTGTGACCTGTGCCCAGAGTTCCCAGGGTAGGGTTGAGAAGGAGGGTTGTAATGTGACATTTTCTCCTACCCCAAATGGTCTTGGGTGAGATGCCATGATCTAGCCTGACTCATTCCTGAGCTCAGAATATACTGGCTATCCAGATGGGCCAGTGACAACTTGGCAAAACCTAAAGGTTTGTCCAGAGGGAGCGCGGGCACAGGGCAGAAGCCCCAGCTGGCAGCCCGGCCCCAGCTCCTGCAGCTCTGGCGCCGGTTCCCAGGGTGGTGAGCCTTCTTGGGTCATTCATTTTCTTGGGGTTAGGAGTGGGATGCTGGCTGGGAGGAGGCCTTTTGGGTCAACCTCACATCACAGAAAAGGGGCCCAGAGTTCACTTTTAGTGAAAAAGTGGAAGGAATCAAATAGGAAATCTCGTAGGGGGTTCAAATGCTTCTCCGTCTCCCTGGGTGCATACACTCAGCCAAATGGCTGCTGCAGAGGTAAAAAGCAATAGTCCAGCGGGAAGGAGGTATGCAGATGCAGCAGTCCTGTGGTTGCTGTGAGGGCAGCAAGGATAGTTAACCAGGGGAGGAAGGAGATCACCCACCTGTAGTCAAATGAGCCGTCTTCTTCTTTGGGGTCTTCAGGACCCAGGGGGACATCCTTCTTTTCTCGTACTGGTTCATAAGAGGAGGAAAAACAGGCAGGATGATGAAAAAAAGATGCCTCTGTTCTCTAGGGTGTCTCTGAACACACAGCCCAAAGACATCACTGTGTGGGCTGGAGAGGTGGCTCAGCGGTTAAGAGCACTTGCTGTGCACGCCTGAGAACTTGTTTGACTCTACAGCACCCATGTAAAAAGCATGGTTGGGTGTGCCCATAACTCTGGAGCTGTGGGGGTGAGGTGGACATAGAGGATTGCTGGGACTAGCCTAGCTCTAGGCTCAGTGAGAGGCCCTATCTCAAAGGAATACAACAGAGAAATGGTAGCAAAGGGCAGACAATATCCTCTTTTGGCCTTTGTGTGTAAGTTCAGTACACCACATATACACCACACACCCCAGACACCATCTCGGGCTCTGTGACAGCCAATGACAAGCTTTGACAAAGCACTATTAATGCCCCCAGGCCTAACTAGTTTCGAAGCTGATTCTGTCCCCTTCACACCCTAAGGGGTCTTTACACCCCAACTGATAAGCATCTCAGCTCCTTGCCATTTCTCTTTGAGATTGTCCCAATATACACCAGAGATGTCATTCCCTCCTCCGCCAAAGGCAAATACTTCCTTGTTTGGTCCTTTCTCATTTCGCTCTGCATTGTAATTATCCTTACATATCTTCTCACTGCTGACAGAAGCTAGCTTTCTGCTCCAGGATGGGGGATTGTGTTTCTCAAAAGTTCCAAGCAGAACACTTGGGAGAGAGGCTACTGCCTCTGGAACGGAGAGGCCCTCCTGTTAGCCTCTCTTGATGGCATGCTCCCTCTCCCTATATGGTCTCTGGATGATGGCATAACCGAGGAGGCCTGCCCTGCTATGCTGTGGTTGGTACCTCTGTCTTCTGAGCATCCGACACAGAAACTAGCATACATACAGCTGCTTACATGAAGGACTTTTTGATGCAAAGTGGGAAAAATCAACCCATTTGAGATGTGAGAATGGGCCACAGGATTAGTAGGTGCTGGACGACTGAAGACTAGAGTCCAGGCCCTGGTTCCTTGGTTGCCTGTCTTCTTACTCTATGAGGTGCTTGCCCCAAAGCTGAAGGGAAGGGGGCTGGCTTGGGAGAACTTTCTGGGCTGGGGCACTTTCTGGAAGGGTAAAGGCAGGTTCTAAGTTTATCTTCTGGGTTCCTCAGGGGTCCAGGTTGCCCCTGACTCAGTAAGTAACCCCATGTCTGGACCTCTGTTTAGCCCTGGCTTTCTCTCTTGCAGAAGAAAAACAGTCTAAACATAGTAAAACAAGAATTCATTGCTCACCAACAAGAAATCAAATTCCCACCCTCCTTCATCTAGTGGAAGCATAGATTCAGGACCCAAGGGGCTGTGGCTACTGGTCAGGGAGAGAAATAAAATTAATCTCCCCTTCTTCATGTCGAGTTTGCCTGCCTCCACTGCAGGAGAAAGAACACCTAGGGATTGTGTCTGGTGCTGTGGCTCTAGGCCAGGAGCAGTTTCATTCAACTGTAATAGCCGTTCAACAGTACGGCTATTCTCAGGTTATCTGTCATCCAGTCTCCTGTCATAGTCAGCCAGCAATCTTGTCCATTTGAAGAAAAAGAAAAATCACTATTTTCTGAAACAAGAATGGAAGAGGTCCTTGTCCTTGATACTGAGGCTCTTGAGGCACAGGGGAGACATGTTTCTATGGCACTTTAGGAAAGGCTAGGACTGCTTCTAGCATCACTCTGGCCTCTGCCAGAGCTGCTGAGTTTGTGGTGATGATGGGCAGCGAGACCAGCCTCAGCAGGGTGTGGCCACTATGGTGTTCTGTCTTGATTATGCTGCTTCTGTCTATCCCCTACTCTCCACTTCTAACATGGCCACCTCACTTCCCTTCCTCTGCACTGACACAGGGTCTAATGACTCTTAGGCTGAAGAAAGGTCCCTCTGCTAGCAGACAGGAGCTACGTCATGGGAAGGCTGGCCACCTCAGGAGGAGCCATGACTCTCTGGAGCTGCCTAGACTGTACCATCCATCCATCTGGGACAAATGAACTCAATTGCTTGCTGGCAGCTTCCAAGAAGAAGGCCAACCATGCCACAGGCCTGAAGTGCTAAGTCTAAAAGAGCAGAGACCGGAGGCCTGGATCTGGCGGAAGTCTGGCCACTCACTGGCAGCCCTGACCACCCACCCCGGCTCTCACCTGGGTACTTGCCACCACGACTCCTTTTGATGAAGCAGACGATGAGCAGGATCAGCACCAGGAGGGCGATGGCACACATGAGCCCGATGAACCAGCCCTGGGTGGCGATGTCTGCCTGGTTATTGGTGTAAGCTGGTAGGGAGGGTGGGAAGCAAACCATGAGCCATTGCTTGGGGAGTGGGTAAGGAGGAAGGGTGGGGGAGGCACACAGCTATTGTGCAGATTTGTTCTAGTGCCTACAGCTACCATTTAGCGGCCCTCTGGCCCAAGCTACTCTGCTCAAAGGATGAAAGAAAAGGGTTAAGGAACCAAGAGCCAAAAGATCAGAAAAGAGGCAAAGAAAAGGGGTGCAGGGAGCAGAGAAGCAGAAGGCTGAGCAGACCCTGCAGGATGGAGATGCTTACTAGAGAGGAGGCAGGGCATTTGCACAGACTGCAGCCTGGTGGAACTGAATGACTCTTCGTGGCAGCGTGTTTCTGATAAATGGGCCTCCGTGGTACCTGTCAGGGTCCTGAGCATGGCCACACTGCCTAACCCTGGCGGAGGACACCTTGCAGGCAATGGCTTCTTTGTCCACCAGGCTTTGGCAGTGGGTCTTAGGCCAGATGGAGGTTCAGGTGGCCCCATGCCTTTTCAAGGCTCCCCAGCTAGACTATGTGCTCTCTGACAGCAGTTCAGGCTGACAATTCAAGCCCAGGTGCCCAGGTCAGGCAGGTAGTGATGCTGGCCTGAACTTTCAGGTCGCCTCACAGGGAATGCTCAGGGTGGGCTGTGGCAAGCCAACTTGCCTTCACTTCTGCCCATGCCTGGAGGTCATCTCACAGATCCCTTTGTGGTCTGAAGGGAATACAGGTAGGTCAAAGAGCAGGAGCCCGAGAGTCTTTTGATGGTGTCCATGATGCCCAGGGGCTGAGGTTTAGGTTAGCGGGAAAGAGTGCTAAGTATCCACTCACCCCTTCATTCTGTGGACTAGAGGACAAAGGGGATACTTCCTGAAACCGCCTTTCACGGGGAACTGAGACTCAGGAAGGGAAGAATGCATGGAATGTGACATACCCAGAGAAGCCCAGAACAGCCTTGGGAGAGTTAGGTGGCAGCAGGAATACCACAGCCCACAGAGTGAGTCACAGTGCCAGGCCTCTTCTTAGGAAGCACACTGGATTTGTGACACCCTGTGCTCTTGCTCCTGGATATTTTATATAAGATGCAGAAACTGTTCCATAGACTTCTCAGGGCCAAGTAGAAGACATCATCCCAGGAAGGCTCTCTCAGTAAACAGTAAGGTGTGATGAGCAGGCCCTCAGTGGCAACCCAGAACTAGCTGCCCTGCTGCAAAGTAGCCGATGTGCACAAGAAATGTGGCTCTTATCATCCTGATCTGTGTATGCTATGGTGAAAAGGCCCAGCCTTGTTTCCTGCTCCTGTCCAGTGCTCCCTACACAGCAGCCCCAGAGCTCCATGAGGTATTAAAATACTTCTCCAAAACTCCTAATTGCTATGAGAAGAAACCCTATATTCCTCATCCTGTCAGGCTCTGACAGAGAGCTGGCCCTATCACCTCTAGCTCTGCATCCTACTCCATACTCCAACCCCTCAGCCACTTACTTGCATTCCTGCCTGGGGATATTTGTACCGGCTGCTCTTTCTGCTGAAAAAGGGCAGTGAGTCTCTAGCAATGACTTCACTGCTTAGCTCTTGTCCCAGAACTAGAGGATGACATAGACCCATCCCATCACAATATCACCTCATCATTTTCTGGACTTTGCTGCTCAGGGTCCAGCAATCCTGTTACTCCTCCATCGTTTGCCCTCTGGACTGCCTGCCCTTTCCCCAGGCCTGGAGACCCTGAACCCACACAGCCTTCTGCAGCTGTCCTCTGTGTCAAAGATCTTTCCTTCTTTTCCCCTCCAGAGTTAAAGTGGGATGCAACATCTTGGTCCTTAATTCCTGTAAAAAGACCCCTGAATTCCCAGCAGGTTCCATTTCTTCCTCTCAGCTCTCTTCTTTCTGTGTCTTACAACACAAACCTGTAGGAACCGGTCAGACCTTCTGAGACAGCCCATACATACCCTGTTCTGATCAGATGGACCCATCATCTCTCATGGCCGGTGGTCCTGCCGAGTCTGCTCCTCCATCACAGGAAGCTGACTTCAGTTTTCTCTAACCACCATGCCTCAGCTACCATCTCAAGTGAGCAAACCTCTCCCATGCCTACTTCCCCATACCGACTGACCTCAGGCAACTCTTGATTCCGGTTGGCAATCCTTTTAATCATCTCTTGTACCCACAGTGAACTCTACAGCTGTGAGTCCAACACTCTTCCCTACCCCCTTGGCCTGAATGTCCATGCAAGTTCTACGTCTGAAGGCTGTCGTCAGTCCCCCCAAACAACTGACACTCGATGTGAAGCACCCATACATTGTCAGTACCTGTGAGTGCAGTGAGGTTAGTGTCCCTACCCAGATATTTTTCATTGTCCCTCTTATTTTCTGCCGTACAGAATTCACACTGTCCAGCCTTCTGCATGCCTCATCCCCCCCTTACTTAAGACTCTAGATTGTCATCCTTTCTTCTGACTACCTTTCACAGTCTCCCATCTCTCCAGAGCCTCTGAGCACTCCAACGTATACCTTCTTTGGCCTATGCTCCCCCTCTCCCTATTCCACACAAACTAACATTGTCGTTTCCAGTTGTGCTGTTCCAGTCTTGAGAATAGGGTGTTTATTTGAAACTAGTAACCAGCTACTACTTACTGATAAACACATAGACTTAATGCTAATGCAAGCAGAATAACCTGGGACCCCACTCTTGGTTCTCCCCATACCAGCCAGTGGCCACATGGATCCTCCTGTCTACGTACCATGCCTAGGCAGTAGGTGAGGGGATTACTTCACTTGTGTTTGGACAGTGGCACCCATATTTTGCAGAGAGGTTGGTTTGTATCTCTGCAACGACCCGTTTGCACCCCCATCTTGCTTGTGTTTGTTCTGATACTCTGGCAGCCATCTCCACGACATGCCCTTTCTCTTCAGAAAGAAGGTCATGATGCCTGGGGAAAGTGGTTACAGGGGCGGTTTAGAAAGCAAATGCAGCATCCCACTCCTGACATTACCAGGCAATGTTGAAATGTAGCTTCAGACTTGATCGAAAAATGTAAAATAAATAAATAAAAATTCTCTTGAACTTCAGACACGAAACCAAGTGAGATCAACTGACTACACCTTATTACAGAGCGAGTTAGTTTCTCAAGAGTAGAAAACAATAGAACAATAGGATGATCTCAGCTTAGACTGAGAGGAAGTCATTTTTCTCCAGGCACCAGAGTAATTACACTTGACCACCAATGCCACACTCAATTGATCTGCTAAACTGGCGTTGAGAGTCCAACACTATCAGTCTTAAAAGACAGCATTTACACTTCCACCTCCAACTGTAAATGACAGGAGCTGCTCTTGTGCCACCTGTGGCTTGCCAAGCACAGGTCCAAAAGCCTCTTGCTGGACAGAAAGCACTCATGCTTAAGCCTTCTAAGCCACACACTAGTCTTCCCTATTCTAGCCAGAGTACTGTGTCTTGCTTCTACCTAACTATTCTATATACCAAGCTGTCACAGAATAAGCCAACCTTCCCATGGTTGGGCAGTGTTTTCTGAGACCAGGATGGAAGACACAGAAAAAAAAAAAAAAACTTTCTCCAACCAGTTTTGTCTGTACCTATGTTGTCTGAGCCTGTAGTCACCTCTCCTGCCTTCACCCTGGGAAGTACTGAAACCACATTTGCACCAGTCCTGCTGTAGACTCAGAGTCATAGCAGGTATTAGGCTTAGTAATAGGGGCAGTTGGCAACTTGGGGAAAATGCACTGTCCATAGTAGTCTACCAGTCTGCAGATGATCACTAACAGACTCATTTTATTCAAACATGAACATGTCATTCTAGGGGCTTTGGTGCCAATTCCAATTTGGGGTAGATGTTGTAACTACATCCTATTTTTAAAAATGGGAAATTCACTTGCTAACCAGAAAGTTCATCCAACTCCCATGTCTAGCTGGAGGAATCTGGTTTGGCTGTAGACAACAGCCACATCAGTGAGAGTCATTCTAGAAAGAGATGAACAAATAATATACTGGGATGACCTTTCTTCACACAGTTTGGCTGCTCTCCCTCGAGTATCATGTCACCCTTCTCCTTACACACCTGCCTCATCCTGCAGTCCCTCTGGCCACCCTGAGTGCTGAAGCAGCCTGCTGTGTGATTGCTTCTGCCAGCCCCTACTCCCAACAGGGGAGCATGGATGGGCCTGTTAGAATCTTGGGTCATATATTTGTAGCCTATCAAGTTTCTGGCTTCAGAAGCTTTAATAAGGGGGTGATTAAGTTCCCAGTGGGATCTTTCTGGTGAGGGTTAGAAAGTCTGTTAGCATTCCCAGAAGTCCCTTTTCCTTCCTTCCGGAACCACTGCAGCATGTCATCTGCAGACTAAAGTGATGGCCTGTGGTTGACTAAATGACCCTAAATGTGGTTGGGGCCCAGAGATGTTCACAGAAGCTCTGCTTTGATGAAACACAGAGATCTGGGGTTTGAATGAGCTTGCCTCTAGAGTCCACCTACATGCTTTGACGCATGTTTACAGGCACACACACTTCAGAGAGTGAAAGTTTTCTTTCCCCCATGTGGTTTCCAACTGGCCTAGGAAGAAGCAGAGAAGCTGAACTCAGAGGCAGGGTACTGAGCCTAGATGTTCCAGCTTGCCTGAGAAAGGCCCTGGGGAAACTTGCTACTGTTACATGCTTCTGTGGCTCATGAGCAGACTGGGACTCTCCAGATCCAGCACAGAAAAAAAAAGAAAAATGGATATTGAAGATGACATTCAGAACCAAATGTCAGCCATTATTAATGGCCCCCGCCCAATACTGTATGCTTAATACTTGAAACAACTTAGGCCAAACCCAAAGGCAAGGCCTGGTCCTTTTCACTCTGGCTCTCTTTCTAGCCCTTATCCACAGCACCTAGAGAAACAGAGCTCTGACAATAGGCAGCGCTGGGTTCCCCAGCATCCATAGGGTAGAGTTCTACCCTTGTGCAACATCTTTATTTCTTGCCCATCAGCTAGACTCAAGTTTTTAAAGAAACGAAATCAAACATGCCCAAGAGCTTGGGCTCTCCAACCATGCCAGAGTCCTGCTACCTGTTCTGCTTGGTCAGCTGTTCATTTGCGTGGCTTCCCACATAAAAGGATCCCAGCCTGCTTGCTCACTCAGATATCCTGCCTGAGTGGGCCTGGCTCATTTTAAGCAAGGAGCTGCACATTCAGATTCTGTGGGCTGGAAATGTTTGGGACTAGTAGGATGAGTAGGGGGTGCAGATGGACAGTGACTCCCTAGATATAATGTCATGTGGCTGGGTGAGGGAACAGTAATGAATATTCAAGGCAACATTTAGAAATTCACATAAATCATTGTGGGGTTCCCCCATCCTGTGTGTCTAATAACCCACATCTGACTAGGCCATCCCCAGAGGCAAGGGTTGATCCTTTTCTCTCTTAATCCCTTTCCCCACCTCCCCTTAGCCCCAGGGCTTAGACTACAGGCCACTTGGTTGTGTCTGTCAGATATGAAAGATATTCACAAACCCACATCCGTAGACAAGCAAGGGCCTCTATTGTTTGCATATCCCCAGCTACCCCCACCAGCCGAGACATTTCTAAACCTGGTCACTCCTGAGCCCTAAGCAGCCTAGCTGCTTGGTATAATGAAGATGCTTCTCTATCCAGGTTGAAGCTCCTACAGAGCCAGACTGTCCTGGCCCTAGCATGATTTAAACACACACACACACACACACACACACACACACACACACACACACCAGCCAAAACCCACTTACTTTTAGGCAGGACAAACTTGAAATTAAATTAAATAAAACAAAACAAAATAAAACACTGATGTTGGCAAGGCAGCAACATACACACTGATCCCAGGTTTAGTTGCTCAGGAGAGGTCTGAATCACCACCCTGGGCTGGCCTCTTCCCCTCATTCTACATGAGAAAGCTAGCTCCCAATCAGTGGGGAGCACTATAGGCCTCTCCAGCAGCCCCCAGGCCCCCACACTGAGTTTGTGCATGCACTGAGCCCTTTTGTTACAGATGTGGTGGAGGACCAAACTTTTCCTGTCCTCATTATTCAGTCTTTTGTTTCCTCTGATTCCCCTCTCAGACCCCTGACTCAGATCCTGCCTTGGTCTCCACTGGGCATGCACACCTGACTCTTGTGACGTCCTGCAGGTCAGAGACATGCCATGCAAGGCAAGGAATGGGGTGGAGATGAGACCTGTTTCCAAGAAGAGACAAGCAGGAAGCTGGGAATGAGGATGAGATGCCCATGCTTGCAGGGGATGGTGAGGCCAGATCCCCTCTCACCTGTACTGGTCATAAAGGTGATGACGGTACTGCTGATGCCCTCGTTGTCCCGGGAATACACCCGCAACGTGTACGTCATCCCGGGATAGAGGTCTGTCAGCTGTATAGGCTGGGCCTGGGCCTTAACAGGGACAGTTTTTTTCGTATGGTTGCCTGGGGAACAGAAACCTAGGTCAGCTTACAACCAGGCACCAGGAGCTGGAGAGAGTGTTTAGGTCCCTGTTCATCTGTCAAAAGCAGAGAAGTGGAGGGGATAGTGGGATAAGGCACCCTGGGTCCAGTCCACCACACAGAACAGGTAGCTTCCCGGCGCCCGGCATGCAGCTCTAACTTATACATGATGTCTCTCCCTGAAGTTTTCCTTCTTTACCATGCGTGGGCTTAGCACTAAGCATATCAAGATTGGCTGCCTTAGCCTTGAGGCATGTCAGCTGCCCTGGAAGTAATTCACTTTCTGCTCGGGAGCTTTCTGGGAGGGCTAGCATGCTAGTTAGTATGTCACGTGATTAGTTTCTCACATGAAGGTGAGACAGGATCCTTGGCTCTCACTTCGCTCTTGGGTTCATCTTGAACTGTTTGTCGAGTTGCAAATTCACATATGAAACAAAGTATCTCTATCTCTTCATTGTGGGAGGGAATGGTGGTGGCAGGAAGCTGAAAATGCTCAGACCTAAATAGGCACTACAGATCTTGAGGGTCTAAAGCCCTCTTCCCTCCACAGAATGTAGCAGTAGTGCCAGCTTTTCACTTCCTAAGAGTTCTTCGGGGAGGGGATGGCCCAGCTATGCTTTCCCGGCTGGTGTATTGGCTTTGCTGCTTTTGCACATGAGAGAGAGAGGTATGGGCTTCACCCTGCAGGACCAGGAGCCCTAGCCCAGAGAAGGCAGATGCCTGCAACACATTCTCCAGTCCATTCAGTTTTTAATCCCAAACTCTGATAGAGTGAACCACTAGCTCTCTGGTCTGTGACTTCTGCTTTCCACTATTCTGTGAACAGAGAGGACCTGAAGCTCAGGTCTGTGCCCTGGACCATGCAGTAGAGGCCTCAGAACACACAGGGTTTCAGTCAGATCAACACAGAAACAAGACCCAGCTCACTTCAAAATTCTCAGAATCATTATTCTGGGCAAGAGTGGACACAGGTCACAGTCCACAGATCCTCCACAGCACATGCAATTCAGGCCCTTTGCTAATGGCTTCAGAAGTCCCTTCCTGTTTGTGTCTGTTCCTCCCGTCTCTGTGATTGTGGGATCGATTTCACGGGACTAAAATGAAGCCAGGCTAAAAGGCTTCTGAGCCTGAGGGAGTTCAACAGGATCTCGTTAATGTCTGTGTGCCACTGCCGCCACCCCCACCCCACACAGCAATGCTTACTGTCGATGTACTCAACCACAAAGTCAGTTCCAGGCCTGAAATTGTGCTTCCAGGTGATGTTGGCCCATTTACTGTTGGGGAGCACCGTGACGTTCCAAATGGACTGCTCATGCTCATCAGGGGCTGGTGGACGGGTTAGAAGAGGAGTTAGTGGTGAGGACAGAGGCAGCACAGGAAACTCAGAGAGGCACATTCGTACACGTGCATACTCTCACTCACACCCAGAGGCTGCTGGGAAAGGGAAGAGTCAGGAAAGGCTGTGCATGAGGCCCAGCAGGGATACAGGGTGCAGTCGTGATAGCCAGGCCATCGTTAGCTAGCTACCCAGGGATGAGCATGTCTCTCACTTCTCACAAGAAGGGGTTAGGAAGAAGAGTGGGTTTTTAGCCACACCACTAATTCGCTTGTCATAGATTCGAACAGTGAGAGGAAAAGGGTCAAAGAAATAGGCCCCATGGTCGGGATGCCAGCAGAAGGGTTGCTTGAAAGTCAAGCAGGTGTGCCTTGGGGGCGTGATGCTTGCTGGACATGTGGGTTCCACCCCTAGCACTACCAAAAGAAAATCATGTAATAGTGAGATAGCATAAGGACAGGAATAAATACACTTAAACTCTCCTGGCTTCCTGAAGCTAGAGAACACTCATCCACGTAGGTGACCTTTGATCTGAGGCTCTCTGGTTAAGAAAGCCTGAATGGCCAGTACTTTGGCCTAGAACCTCTGGGTTCCTGTCATAGGCCAGATACGACCAAAAGATGACTGGCATCCAATCCTTAGTGTTCTCTATACCAGAACCCTGCTTGTTGGTTTCCCAGTCACAGAGCCACTGAAGGTTGATCTGATAACAAAGAGGACATTAATTACCAAGCTGCCGGGGGCTGGGAGCCACAAGGCTGTCTGAAACCATACCGGTACACAGGAGAATGGCAGCAGCCTTCAAATGCAGGAGTCCCAGAAGTCCGATTAACCACATTTCCCAGCAAAGGTTTAGTAGCGAAGGACTAGCAAGGATGCTTGTAGTTCAAAGGCTTTACAAGCATGCTCCTGCATGTTTAATTAGAATGCACAGAGGCACTGTCACCAACTCACTTGTCAAACCTAAATGAATAGAGTATATTGACGGTGCATTTATTCATTATCTGTTTGACGTGTGACTGGGTCTGCAGGGCTGGGAAAGTGATAAAAGATTTCCCGATTTTCACTTCAAAGAAGTGTTTCTTCCTACTGCAACCCTGTCAGGTGTTGGTTGCCCCAGGTGAACACAATGTGTGTCAATGGAGGGGCCAAAAAGGAGGCTTCCCTGATGGCAGCACAGGCCTGCTGCCTGGGAGGGAGGAGACAGGCTTCCTTTCTTCTGCTTGTTTCATTTTGATCACACTGGCTGCTCTCATAATTTCCTCTTCCTGGAAGCCCAAGGCTCTCATAGTGGAAATGAAGGTGATTGGCCCTGATTTGGAGGTCTCTCTAGCTCCTTAGCTCAGGACCCTACAACAGCATTTGTATACAACAATTTGACCCCTAATGTAATATTGAGCTAAATCTGATGCCCTCAAAGGGAATGAAGATCAGGGTGCTTTTAGGAAAGGCCAAGCAGGGGCTGAAGAGATTGCTGTGTGAGTAAAACACTTGTATTAGCTTTGTCAAACTGAGTTAAGATCCCCCAAACCCCAAAAAAGCTGAATACAGAAACACAAGTGTCTGTTATTGCAGACCAGGAGATGGGAGGCTGAAGGAAGAATCATGTCACCTTGCAGGCCACTCTGTGCAGCAGCAAGGACAAGGGGCCCTGTCTCAGATGGAAAGCCAGCACTGACACTCATGGTTTTTCTCTGATCTTCATGTATGTACCTGTATTCACATGTGCTAACATGCACACAGTAACACACACACACACACACACACACACACACACACACACACACACGTCATACACACAGAGAAAAGAAAAACCTAAGCAATGGGTGAAACCAAGATGATTTTGAGGTGGGAACCATATAGAAGGGTCAGAATAATGACTGCTAAAGAACTGGGGTGTTCAAAGGGAGGGACCGAGAAAGTGGACTCTCAACAATGAAGTCAAAAGGAGGCCATGATTAGCACACATTGTTCCACTGGCTCCTAGCACATAAAAGCTAGGGGATAGCATCCAAATCTACACAAACGAAACCCGGAAGAAGAAAAAGTTATAAAACATTTCGTATTAAGATATAAGACAAGATGAAGATGAAATTTCATTAAAAAGATTCCTGGGAAACTGAGGAATTTAATGGCTGTCCCCATGCTCTCCATAAGACTGGGGCTGAGGCCAGGCCTTCGGCAGCTTAAGACATGGTCCACACTTGGGCTGTGAGTCATGAGGCCAGTCCTGTCTGGCATAAGAATGTTTCTAGGTCAGGAACTGCCAGGGAACAAGATTTGTTGTGTTTGAATTCTTGGCTCACTTCTGTGAATTCAAAGCACTTGAAGGATTCAAAGGCCTGCTCTGATGAAAAAGATGTCTCACTGTGCCCTAGAACACAGCAACCCCCAAGCTGCTGATAACAGCATTCCATTGTGTAGAAGGCCTCTCCTGGGCCGACTTTCCCCCTAAATTTCCTGTTTGCATTCCAGTATTGTGCCTCTAAAGCAAACCAGCATTTCCGAGTGCTGAGGAGCATGTCAGCTGTGAGTCACCTGTTCTGCCTATGGCTTGCTTGATACCACGTCCTTGAGCTAGAGCAGAGGCTGATGGGTGAGAGGATGACAGTGAGCCTGGGAAGCTGAAGGGACATGCCCAAGAAGCAGGGAAGGCTGGGTGCCGCTGGGAATGGGAGTACTCTGAGTACATCCTGGAAGTCTTTCTGGCCTCTAGGCCCAGGAAGTTTGAGAACCTGTACTCTATGATAATACAAGATTGATGCTTGGTATCCAGAAATGGTTGAATTCTCCAAGGATCTTTTCACGCTCACAGAGCAAGGCTGTGGAGTACAGGGGCCCTAAAGGCCATCCCTAGAACTCCTGTAGTTATTCCTCCAGGTATACATTTTAGGGGTGATGGAAGAGAAACGGAGCACTGTTGGGCATTGTGGCATGACTTAGTAACACCATTTCCTGCATGCTCTAACTTTTTAAAGGAAATACCTGCAAGGAGTCCTTGGGGACAGAGCTGCAAGGAAGGAGCTGGGGTTCCAGAGGCAGAGCTGCATGGCATGACAGCCATTCCCTGCTCCTCCTTCTAGCCACTGTCCCTAGAGGACAGACATGGTGTGGCTAACAGCTCTCTGGGACAGGCACACAGCCATTAGAACCTTCCCTTCTCACCACCTCCTCTCTTTCTGAGTGCCCATCCCTGGCTGATTACAAGGTATATGCTTGGGGGAGGGAGGTTCTCTTTGAGAAGCCTGGTACTCTGTGGGAGGATGGAGGGTTCTGACTAGCATGAGTACTGGCTGATGAATGACCACCCATGGATGTTCAGGGTGGGGATTCTGGGCCTAGTTTGCCAAGTAAAGCTTGGTGGGGCTGGTGTATAGCACACCAGAGCCCACCGCTCAGCCAGAGAAGCCTGGGTTCATCTAGAGAAGCTGAGTGGTGGGCTCCGGGGACACCTGAACAACATGAGCAATGCACACAGTACCGGTTTCTTGAATCTTAGTCCCAGTGCTGGTAGTGGGAGGGCTCTCCGTGGTGGTGGCGGCGGCAGTGGTTGTAGTTGTGGCGATGGTGGTGGCGATGGTGGTAGGTACGACAGTTGGGATGATAGGAACTGTTGTGGCTTCACTGGTGGCGGCAAGGGCAGTAGCCTCAGCACTGCTCACAAGGCCTGTGGTACCCACAGTAGTCGGGGGCAACGTGGGAGGAGCTAAGAGGGAAATGTGAAATAACCAAGTCTGGTTGGTCCGATAGTACCCTGCTAGCACATCCGGTCCCCACGTGCAAGGCAGGCAGCCCAGTGGGAAGATGGGCTCGGAAATCAGAAGCCTCCCCGAGCATCCTCATTGGTGCAGGAGGACCCCAGCAACTGATATACAGCCATGGGAGAGGAAGAGAATGAAGCTGATGTGTGTTTCATTTTCTTCTCATGGTCTGTGTGGCTTGAAGCACCCAGCATGCATCCAACCAGGGACCAGGATAGTGGCTGAAGGACGCACACATACTAAATCATTTGAACTCCAGGGATGGCAGAGTGTGGGCCACATATCACCTACAAAATCTCAGAAATACCAGGTGGGTCCAGGCCTGGAGCCTTGGCTCAGAGGAGTGGCGGGCAGGCAGCTGGGCTCTGCCCTCCAGGGATGCAGAGCAGCTTTTCACACCCAGCCCCTTGGTCCAAAGTCCCCCTTGTCATCTCTGTGGTCTCTGACTCCCTCCCCCTCTCCCTTCTTTCCCTACTGGCAGCTTTCCCAACCCCAGACCCAAACTTCTAGTCTTTCTGTCTAGGATACTTAGGGTGCTTGTAACCTAAGTCCTTCCTGTTCACATTAGAACCTAGAATGGATGGCAATGGCCTCTGATGGGCAACCTTAGTCTCCTAGCCACAGAGAGACACACAAATTGCAGGACAAAGGAGCTGAGTGCCAGGCTCCCTCTCTGTGGAAACCTTCATCTGGGGGCACAGCCAGGCTCTTCTCTGGGCTGACTTGCTCATACTCTACCTCCATCTAAAATGGACTTATCACATTGGTAGGCCCTGGGGCAGAGTCCACAATTGCGGCAACTTTTTCAGTGTTCTTCTTCTATAGAACAGGGACAGAAGCTAGCGAGGGTCTTCTTGTCCTTACTCTCTGGGTCAGTATTTGTTAAGACTGATAGTGTGAGGATGACCAGGTGAATCAGAGAGAGCAGAGCTGTCTCGTCACATCACTGCTAATGACCTGACCACTGTCTATCTTCTGGTGTTGGCAGTAGGCAAGGCCTGAGACATCAACAGTTACCCTAGCTTTTGAGGAATAGTGAGATCCTACTCTGTCTCAAATCTCCAGAAATCTTGAAAAATAGTATCTCCTGCATCTCCCATCTTCAAGGAAGAGGACAAAGTCAGGGATGGAGGCCAGATAACTTTCCCCAGGAGAATCAGGCTCCTGTGCTAAGCTTTTTCAATTAGAACCTGTCTTAGTTACTTCCCTGAGTAAGGGCACATTTCAAGATCCTTGAGCTTCCTTCCTTGTAAGAGCAGAGCTATTAACAGGCCCAAGTGTGGGGACTACAAGGCCACACTGAGAAGATGACTGTCCATTGTCTCAGAGAATTGGGAAAGTTCAAATTCAATAACTGTGTTCCCCAAACTTCAGTCAACTTTCAGGCAACAGGAAGGCACTGGGAGGACTAGGTAGGGTGGGGGAAGTGAGAGGGAGTAAAACCTCTCTCTCATTGTTTTTTCAAAGATATGTTCAGCCCAAGGTAGCCCTAGGTCAGAAAGTCAACTCAGTGCTCTGAACACTCTGCATGAAGTGACTGGCTTACCCTTCCCACCAACATTCCCACGGAAGCATGAATTCACAAGCTGAACAAGCAGAGAGACTGTGCGGCAAAGAGTTGTTGTCTCAGGGCAGGTTCTGTATCCATTATGAACCTGACCACAAGGGAGAGATGGAAGAGGTTTTGTACCTCTGGGCAAAACAGTTCTTACTTAGTTCTTTATGAATAATGTATTTTCTAGTACTTTCTGGCAGATGAAAGGTTCACAAGATCCTCTTTTCTGTGACTACTTAAAAGGTGTTATGAAAAAATACTCCTTGTAGCTTGAGTCACTACCCCAAGCACCATCATACCCAGGGACTTGGGCTTCCTTTCCCTCAGGTACATTGCTGTACATTTTCCAGGGCCCATGGTCCATCTTCTTCAAAGCTCTCCTATGACCACTGGTCCTTTAACATACAGGGACACACAGGGACACACACACACACACATCTCCCCTACTTGCTCTGAGCCACATGCTTTCTGGGAAGTCCAGCAAATGCCCTTGGGACAGAAATGCTAAGAGAGGTTAGAATAGCTTTCCAACTTTGTTCAGCAGCTTGAAGACAAGGGTGAAAAGTGACTATATAGCTGCTTCTAGCCCACATCCCCCCTCCTCTGACAGCCACTACCAAGTATAAATGAAGAAGTTCTTTGTGGTGATAGTTGCTGGGTTCTTACTCTTGGGCTCTGTGGCAAGGCTCAGGGTATAAGTGAGAAAGAAAAATGAGGAGAGAGGGCAGGAGCTACTGGAAACCCCCGGGGGTGTCTCCAATGAGCTTCCAAAAAGAATAGACCCTCTGAGGCCACAGCTGGTAAATCAATACGCCCTCGACCCACTCATCACTTTGTCTATTATCCCCAGGCTGGAGGGCCACAGGACGCAGGAGGGCAGAGGCCAAGAGAAAAGGCATCACAGCTGGAGAGAAAACCATCCAAAGCCTGGGACAGGTAGGTAGGAGGAGGATGAGCTTTTCACAAGGGTATGTATTGCTCAGGCCAGTCAGAGCATCTCAACCTGGAACTGAGTTGGGGAGAGAGTGGAAGATTGGTGAGCCCTGGGGCAGGGCTGGCATAAACAGAGGGACCACAGGCTAATCTCTAGCAGCAGTAGGAAGTATGAGTTTGGAAACAGCCCTGGCTGATACTGACTGGTGATCACAACTGGCTGGCAACTCAGAGAGAACAATGAGTGTCCAGTAATGAAGATGGTTTAGGGCAGCCTAGATCTGGAAGCCAGGAGTCTTTCAAAACAGGGTAGGCCAACCCTATCGACTTCCTCAGGCCCCAGGGAAGACACATCATTCAGGTCATGACATTTGGAGGAGCACGGTGTAGAAACGGACATGACACATCTTGCTCATTTTCTTGTCCTCCTAAACTGAGTTTCTATCAGCTACCCACCCAACATTTTCAGATCTGAACTGAGGCAAAGACAGCTTCCAGACATTCCAAGATGGAGTGTTGGGTCCAAGATTGTCCACATGGCGTAAAGACTACCCCAGCCAAGTCGCAGATTGTCAGGCAGATGGGCAGCAATCCTAGCAGACTGAAACTGCACGTGCATGAGGGGGGGATTATCTGGGCGATGTAAGGGTTGATCAATTTGAGGGGGAAGTGCCGAGGTTTGGTGAGAATGAGAAGGAAGAGGATGGAGGGCTGGATACTGCTCTACTGCTCCCACAGAAATGTTGTGTATGCAAAGCTAAGAACCTCTGACGTCACTGGCACGTCCCAGTTACCAAAAAGTACAATCTGCCCTTTCCAGTATGTCATGTGTGTTGGTGCCTGGGAAACACTTGATTGACTGCAGAGACCCTGGGCCCATTCTGCATGGCATGCTGAGTTTCTATCCTTGAAAATTGGGAGGAGGAAGTGGAGGAGGAGGAGTTGGACTGGCACTTCTCCTTGCAACTTCAGCTCACAGGAAGACTGCACAGACTGCCCTTGGAACACAGCACACTTCTTGCTCCTGGGTCTGGAGTGCCAGAATCAGGAAGGAGACAGGAAGACTCTTGGCCAGTGAGCTTTGAGCTGACTCACCCCAAGTACCTGCTGTCGCAGTTGTGGACACATGAAGCGGGAGGATGGGACGGCCCTCCCTCTGGAAAGGCAAGAATTGTTTGTTCCTGAACAACTCCTGTGTCTCACATTCTGGAAGAGGGCTTTAGAGCTTGTGGGGAGCACTGGCCTGGCTGGCTGGCCGGCCTGGTTACTGGGCAGGAGGAAGTGGGCTGAGGTAGGGAAGCATGGTGGTTTTTTGCAGGCAGATCTAGCTGGCAAAACATGAAAACACGAGGAGGGTATGCAACAGAAGCAGAATCGAATTAGGAAGGAGTGGGTGGAAACAAATGGGCATAGGTAGGAAGAAAACCAAATGGACTAGTAATGCAGAGCGAGCTCTGATTTCTGTCTGGTTCTTGAGTCTCTCAACTAAAGCTGTGTCTTTTCAAAGCTTGTTTTTTGATGCAGGCTTTCATGTGCCCTGGCTTCCCACCTTTGTAATGCCCGGGACATTCTGTCCTCATCTCCTAACATGGGAATATTCAAGCTCAGAGGACCAAGAAAGGAACCCCTGGCATCCCTGGCCTATGGCAGAACCAATGAAGGACTGAAGGGGCAAGCTGTTGGCAGGTTGGCTTTTAACGCAGACCCACCTTCCCAGCTCCTGACCCTAAAGGAGAAGGTCTATCTCCGCACCAAATACTGAGGAGCTGAGTTTCTAGGGATCAAGAAGACCATTAATTCCTGACACGCAGTGAGACGCCAGGCCCTGGAGCCCCGGTCTTACTCACAGACATGCTTAATCTCACTGACTGGAACATATGCTAGCTGGTGGAATGGTGCTGGGTTCCCCCATGCAGCATGCAAGGCAGGCATGCACAGTGTTCTCACCCTTTCAGGGGATTGTGGCATCACCAGGGATAGGAGACAGCTGTTCCCTCTAAAGCACACCTTCTAGAGCCATCTCTATGATCAGAGATGTCAGGTCTAGCAAGGCTCAGGTGGCCATGATAGGAAATCTCTCAGCTTCGGAGGGATCAACATGTGAGACCCCTTCCAAGCCAGCTTTTTAGTAGTGGAGAGGACCCTTCTCCACTGAAAGGGTGAGCCTGGAGCATGCTTTCAGCCTGAATCACTTTCTCTTGCTGGGCTCTGGCCAGCATGGGCTCCATCTGCACTGCCCCGTGCCATGCCCATTACCTCTGTTGATGGTACAATACCTGCAGTTGGAGTGGCTTCAGACACAGCACCCAAGGTGGCCAGAAAGAGAGAGAGGGAGAGAGAGGATGAGAGGGAAGAGAAAACAGTATAGGTGAAATCACAGAAGAAAGAAAAGGTCTGGCTCAAACCTGACGGCTGTGGTATGGCCAGGTGTTAGCTGCAGTCCCGAGGACGCTAAGTGGTGTTCATTGAGTCATGCTCAACACCCCCTGGTTCAGGCAGGTTCCTTTTATTCCATCTGGGGCTTAGAGACCTTTCTAGCACATTATGTTCCTACCCATATTCAAGGACTGGCAGTGTGAGAGGTGGCTGCAGGCACAGTTCAGGCAAAATGCAATACCCCAGCTCTTTCTCCAAGGGTGTGTCCTGCCCTGGCTGGGTTGGTGACCCTCTAAAATTCCAGGAATTGAGGGTGTAGGTGCCGGAGCAGCCAATTCTAGGCAAAAAGATAGCCCCTGCACCTTAATAGCAAGACACTGGGTAGTAGTGGGTAAGGGAACAGCCCCTTCTCATTCTTTCAAAGTATGATGCACCTGACCTGGTTTTCTCTGCCTCAGTTTCCCCCATTAATTGTAATTCATAAAAATAAGAACATAAATATGACCGAGAGCTCTAGAAAAAAACAAATCCAAAACCATCTCTGTTCTCTTGTCCTCTGGAGTTGCAGGATTTCCCTCATCATGGTCAGTAAAGTTGGGCAAAGGGGCTTTGTCTGCTATCCTGTGTTGGGGCAGAGAGGCTTTCTGCATGCCTCTAGAACTATGGAGAGAGAGGGAGTACCATAGCCTGGCTGTCTCTAGTAACAGATCCCACCAGATACTTACCCAAAGTCCATCAGCCCTAATCAACTTCCTGAGTGTTCAAAGGCTGGGAGAGGACACCTGAATTGGGAGCTTGAATTTCTGATCTAGAAGACCAGAAAGGGACACAGGGGACCGACAGTCCTCCAGCTTCTGCCTAGGTGCTGGTCTCCTGGCTAGAGGAGTACAGAGTTGCGGCTACAGTTGTACAAGAGGAATGGACCAAGGCAGCAGGGCCTGGCAGCCCCCTTAGGAAGCACAGTGCTGTCCTGGAACCAGGGGTGAGAACACTCAAAACACCCCATCCGATCAGGACCAGAGCACAGGACCTGAGCCTCCTGGGAGGCAAGTACTAGCCACGATCATGTGGTCTGTTCATATCACCTTTTTTTTTTGGGGGGGGTCTCCCCTTACATATAGAATCCTCTAAATTTCCTGCCCACTCCAGCCACCTTCATACAAGCAGACATTCTTGTAGCTGTCTCTAGACATTGTAAACTTCATATTATCTTTGTCTCTTGCTTCTGGTCAAGTGTATGGCATGATAAATGTTGGGGGGTGTTCAAGAAGTGACTGTTGCATAGACCACTGTACCTCTAGAGAAGCAGAGGTGTTTTACAGGGCTCTGCCAGTATTGAAGCTTCTGCAATCTTGCATCTCTGGCAAGCAAATGAGCCAAGAGCTCCCTCTAGTGTACACTCAAGTCAGGCGTAGCTCTGGAGAGGGATCTTAGTGGTTGGGACACGCCATGCATGCATGTCACTTCACTTGCTCTTTGTGAAGCTGGCTTGGCAAAGGATTGTTCCCAGCCCCCACTTCTCTGTAACTAGACACCTCATCTTATTCAGGCTGCAAGGGAGAACATATTTCCTGCTTTACTCTTGGTCCAGGCAAGCACCACACTATGCCCTATCTCCTTAGTCCTATATGCTCTTGGCAAAAGACAGGATGTTCCAGGACTCTCAGTAACATTCTTGTCTCCACCAGTAGATGAGCAGTTTTGACTCTTCAGAGTTCATCAGAATGGTTATTTCTCATGTTTCCTCTAATCTCTCAACTCCCATGCCCTTCCTTATTCTCTCACAAGTACAGATGGTTGGTGGCAAGCAGCCTGCATGTCTAAAGTGATGCCTTTCCCACATACCGTGCAGCGGTGGATATGAGGATTTGTGGGCCTCAATTCTTTCCCACCCTGGAAGGCCAAGCCCAGCGTCTGGTGTGTTTTTCTAGATGTCCAGATTGGCTAGACCCTTTTACTCCAAGGACTGCCGCCATGGACCTACCTTCATTTGGAGGTGCTGGGGACTCCTCTGTGGCTGCTTCTCCTGAGCCCACTTGCGTCCTGGCACTGAGGGAGAAGCGGTAACGCGACACAGGGTCTGCTCTCTGCACTGTGAACTTGGTCTGATTGGGAGAGAAGTTTTCCACCATCTGCTTTCCCAGTTTGGTTCCATTAACTGGGGAGAGAGGTGAGTGGGGGATTAAGAGCCTGCACGGGTTATAGAAGCTGTGGTTTGGACAGCTTCTGGAGTTTCTGGAAGAGGAATGGGGCTCCTGCCTAGCAATATTCAAGACTTGGTTTAAAGCCAGGGCATTGGACACAGACTCCCTCCCACTGGGAGTACTGGGGTATGTCTGTTGTGCCTCAGGGTTCACACTAGTCATTGAGCCCCCTGTCTCTACTTTTCAGAAAGTCCTGTAGTCAATTCTGAAAGATCAGCTTAGACTTTCCAAGTCCCCCAACTAGGCCAAATCTTTGGAATTCTTTTCTTACGTTCAAACAGAACTGGGGAAATTCCCCAGGATTTTGTTTGCTCTTGTCTTATTTGTAAAAGGCCTCCTTCTTTAATATGTGAGTGGAAGGTTCAGGTCCAGAAATAGATTCAGAACAGCTTGGAGGGCACAACAGCAATATGTCACCTGGCCCTCTGAACTTCCCAGCGAGGGGCAGCACTGTCTACACTAGAGGCCTTAACATTTTTGAAGTGTGATGACATTCCCATTTTCACCTGGTAATACTGAGCTCTTGTGGCAAAGAGCTTATGGCCCTGATTCAAATCATTCCACAGTAGCTAGATTGCTATACGAACAGCTACTTTAACAAATGATGCCTGCTTAGTGTCTCCTGAGCATCCCTGAAATGCCTGTCCACACACAGTTTGCCCATCAGATAGAAGTGCCTATGGGGGAGGAGCTTTTCTTGCTTAGACTTGTAGGTGTTGGAGACTACAAGCTTCCGTAGGGCTGGAATTGTCTCCCTCATTAGACCTGAGTACCCTTCATCCACTTCCTACAAATGGAGCTGTATAGGAAGAGCAGGGATTGGGTCTTGCCTGCCCCCTTTAATTATGGGGAACTTTCCTGAGCACTCTTATTCCTATGCAATGCCTTCTGCACCCAGAGGCTTCCAATCTCCATTCCTCAAGAAAATAATGAAGAAGGGTTTGGGATCATATTTGATCTAAAAGCAAAAGCAAAAAAGCAGAACATACAGGCCACATATTTGAGGGTGTATCCAATCAGGATTCCATTGGGGTGCTCTGGGTGATCCCATTCCAGGTTGATGGTCTCCAGGTTGGGCTGTCGGACTCTGAAACGCCTGGGGGCACTGGGTACTTGGGGAAGGAGGAGGGAACCAGGAGATGAGGGCAGGGAGGAAGAGGAGAACACAGAAAACAAAGCACAGGCATGAAGGCATGACCTCAGGTATCCCTGCGCTGGACCACTGCTGACCAGGTCCTAGATCCTTGAGGGCAGAGCCTGCTGCCTGTCTGGCACCCACTTTCATCTGGTAGGAAGCCAAGCAGGCCCAGATACTGCTGCTGAAGTAGGGGAAGAAGTCAAGTGAGTTTTCTTTTAGCAATTACCCTGGACTTGGCACAAATTAGGCGGCTTCAAATTAGGCTGCAAACACACCTCCAAACTACAGAGCCACTCCCAGGCAGGGGACCAATCATGACTGTCTTGTGGCAAGGGTGCAGTTCCCGGTCCCCAGCCAAGGGCTCTCAGCACTGGGGTGCAGCAGCAGGACCCCAGGTTCTGAGCTGAGAATCTGGGTTCTATTGGGGAAGAGAAAGACTCAGGGCAGAGTGCCTGGAAAGGGGTGGGAGTGATAGGGAGAGGCAGATGATGGGGACCAAACTGAGGAAGGAGGGAGAGACAGGGGTAAAGAAAACGAGAGGAGGACAAAGGAGAAGGAAAAGGAGGAAGAGAAGAAAAAAATGGGAAACAGTTAAGGAGAGAGGGAGGGAGAAACAGAGATGGCAAAGTTCATGCCAAGTGGACAAAAGAGCCTATGGGGAGCCAGTGCGAGAATAGAACTTTGTAGGTGTCTGGACACCAGGGTTAGATCAAACCACAAACCCTCAGAAGGGTGGGGCGACATGTGGCAGTACTCTGTACACACAGGCCAACTTTCCATGAGTGTTTCTTGATGCTGAGGGAGGCTTGTGCAGGTCTTGGTGTGCTGATAAGCAGGACATCGAAGTGGCCAGATTCATGTGTGGCCTTCGCCTCAGACGAGGTGCTGGGGTCAGTCTCATAGCCTGTGTCTGGAATGCCATGGGCACAATGCACAGATCTCTTGATAAACAAGTTTCTGTAAGGATGGATCACCTTGGTGATGGTCATCAGCTTGCTGAGGCCACCCTGGCTGTCCATGCCAAGCCATGCTGGAGCTGCTCCAGGTTCACCGGTGGCACCACCCTTGTTCTACCCCACCTTGAAATGCTGCAGACCTACCTCCTTCTGGGGTGGTGAATTCCTTGGTTTCACTTCGAGGCCCATCACCTCTCCCATTGACCACAACCATCTCCAGCTTGTAGTTACTGTAGGGGAACAGGCGAGCCACCACGCCCCGGGTGCGGTCACCAGGGAAGCTGGCCTGCTGTCTCTTCTGAGACACCCACAGGTTCTTCAGCAAACTGCTTTCCCTCCAGTAGTAAGCCTTTGAGACAGAGGCAGGTTGGTGAGGGGCCAGGCAGCAAGGCCAGGTTAGTGGTTAGTGGTGGTAGTGACTGGTCCTCCCTTTGCCTGCTCCCAGTCTCAAATGACCTCATCCACCCCATACAGGATGGTGGGACAGCCTTAGGGTCCTCATTCATCAGCCATTCACAAATAGAATAATGCTGAACATGAAACAGGGTTGTGGTTTTCACTCATTTTTGGAGGCACAACACATCTTTGGAGAATATGTCCAAGCTGAGTGACACGATGCAGAGGGAAAGTCGGTGCCAGAACCTCCGTGCGAACAGGAGTCCTGGGTGCTCAAAGACCACCTCCCTCTCAATTGGACTAGTACAGTTTAAGGGGGCAGCAGGTGGGTACAGGAGGAGCAGGTGATCCCCAACAGTCGGAGCATGAGCAAGGGCTGACTTAATTCTCTGAAGCCAATGGATTTCTTTATGTAGTGTTGAAGATCTTTAAGATGGCAGAGACATGTCCAAGTCAGTGGGGGTACAGGGCTGCATGGTAGCAGAGCTTGGATGGGAAGGATGGTCTTGGAGGTGGTAGAGGTGAAGGGTAGAGTGAAGGTCTTATTAGCAGTGGAAAGAAGCCACAGGACAACTTGTCACAGCAGTGTCACCAGCAAACTGCTGAGGAAATCCAGGCTTACGGAGACTGGTAAGTACTTCAGAAAGAAAAATCTCCAGGCCAGCAGATTAAGGGTTAAAAGTTAACTGTTGGGGAGGAGCTAGGTCAGGTGCACCTGGCCTTCATTTCTTTAGTTCACTGCCAAGTTCATTTCCTAAGAAGGACTTACCCCCTTCTGTCTGTCCCCAGCTGTCCATCAGCTAACTCTTGATGATTTCAGAAGTCATAGACCCAGTAGTAGCCCAAGGCTATGTTACCCTCACTGCCTAGCCAACTGAAATGAAAGCACTCTCCTGAAGGAAAGTCCTGTGCCCCCTTTGCCCCACCTCAGCCCGGCCCCTGGGGACAGATGACTTGGCAGAAACTGCTCCCAGGCTGAAAGCACAAGAGGCAGGGGGTCCTTCAGAATCTGTGTTGGGTGGCAGAGTTGCCTGAGGCAACAGGCAGGCAGCTTACATTCCTTCAGTGGCTTTGCTCATTAGTGCGGCTTTCTGCGACCAGGCTGGGGAAGCAAACAGCTTGGCAGAGGCCTCTGAGAGAAAGGGTGTAGCTCAGGGTGCGTCAGTGGTGCACATGAAGATACACATACCTGTTCACACATGTATATGTGCTCTGCAGGTCCAGCTCAAACCTAGTGCCCTCCTAAGGATTTCTTGCTGAGCTGGGCCGTTCATATACTGTGTGTGGTCCTATAGACATGAGTTGTGTGATGTTCCTGTCAGCAAGGGACCACATATAATAGGACATTGGTCCCATATGATTCTTTCACCTAGTGATGGCTGTAGCCATCATTATGTCATATCACGTGACAAGTGTTGGTGGTGCTGGTACTGTGTAAACAGTCTACTGGATTGGCAGTCACAATCGTAGCAATACAACTGTACTTCTTGGTAATGATCATCACTGGGTTTCTGGTTTACACATTTCTTCTACTATCCTCTGCTTCGTATTTACTTTATACTCCCATTCTGCTTTTGCAGTGCTGGGGATTGAACTCAGGTTCATGAATGTCAGGCAAGCACTCTAGACTGAGCTTGCACAGGGCTTACTTTATCATTTTTATCCTATTTAGAAAATGCAGCTTACTGAAAGACAGTTTTCAGTATTACACCAGCAACAGCCTCATATATATGCTTGCTGTGTGTGTTGACTTCAGTGAGCAGCCGAGCTGAGGAATTGGCTTTTACTGATTAGGTTTATCTCAGTATGCACCACGACGCTAGCACAACGACAAAATTGGCTAATGATGCATTTCTCAGAACATATTCCTGTTGCTAAGTGATACATGAACATATGTATAATAGACACAAATATATGCATGCATGTATATGTTTCCCGCGTGGTAATTTTGAATCCCAGAAATCATCCTGAATTAACTTTAGATCCCATAAGTATTCCTAGGATCCCTTCCAGATGCCCTCCACACCGCAGCTGCTACCCCTTGCCCTGGTTAGTGAGCGGGTGGGTTAGATGGGGCTGGGTGCTGGCCTCCTCACTCGATATTCTCTGAGCTGGCCCTGGACCGTGTCAGAGTAGACTCGGTTCCACTGAAGGCTGATGGCTGTGCTGTTCATGACTCGTATTTTAACTTCAGTGGGAGCAGCCCTGGGATCTGCAAGATGTGGGAACAGAGAGCTGATTATACAGGCAAGGTTGGGTGTTGGATTCTAGGATCTCCTATGATGTAGTCTGACAGCCCACACCTCTACTCTACTGTATACGGGGTATTCCAGACAGCAGTGAAGTCTCAGGACAAAATAGTAACAGGTGTTCAGGGCAATTACTTGTGGCATTCAAGTGCAAGGACCATCTGCCTTCCTTTTCATTCTCTACCTGTTCCCACCTCTGTGGCCACAGAGGCTGTTCCTGGACCTTGCCAGCTAGTACCTTTTCCTCAGGCTTCTTGAGGAGTTTGGTCAATGGGAGGTGCCAAGATGAGGTAGGAGTAAAAGGAGAGTGGACCTTGCTTCCCCTGGCTTCCTCTGCTGGGCTGCTGATGGGCCCAGCAGAGGACAGATGCTCCTCTGTCCATCGCCACAGTTCCTAGGGTAATGCTCACAAGCGGTAGTGACTCCACCAAAGGATGAGCCTCTTTGAGGCTCAAAGAGAAATCACAGGCTCCTGCCAGCCTCCAGGAGGCTTAATACTCTTTATTTGTTATCAATAATCAATTCTGAGTGTGCCAACAGAAATGTTAGCTACAAACAGGAGATGCCTCTAGGAACGTGGCTCTTTGACCTCTGCTATGTGACTTGCAAAGCTGCTGCAATGATGCACAGGGCCCAGGGTGGACACATACAGTGGAAACTATGGGGCTATTGGGGAAGCCTGGAATCACACTCACTGACTGACTGCCTCTACTAGACTGTTAGAGAGAAGTGTCCTCCACCATAGAGTGGCACAGGCGAGGCCCCTCTGCTCATTTCCAGTGAGCCCAATCCATGAGTGCTTCTGGGACTTGGCCCTCACTGCTTCCCTCCTCACCGTCATGGGACCTTATTTGGAGCCCAGTCTTGCCTATTGTGTCGGCTCCTACTATGATCTGCCCTCCTCCCTTCTTTCTGCTCCCCCTCGCCACCAATTCCTTCATGTCTTCTTGGGTCAGACACAAACCCAACTGTCAAGTCTGGTTGGCTCTACCAATGGTCTGCTTTGCCCAGAAGCTGTGGGACTGGCGCTGATGCATTAGGCACAGAGGCCATGCACACACTTTCACATACAGCTCTAGAATATTGAGAGTCAACCTGCTAAAAACATCCCATTTCAGGTTCAATTCCAAGGGCTGGAAGCAGTGTTGGAATGCTGGCAGAGAGTGGGTCAGGAAGACTCAAGTTGGTGCTCTGTAGACTTTAATGCCTACGGCTCCCTGCCTGGCAAGTCTAGCCTGTGCCCTGCTTTCTTGGAGCATCTAAATAGCTCTTTTGAACAGTAGTCCTAAAGTCTTTCTTGGTACTAGAAAGGCTTGGTAGTAAAGCAACTTGTCTGGGGCCATGGGGACCTGGGGACCCAGGTTTTATTTTCAAGCACAACATTTGCTGTTGTAGAATCCTGGAAAGGGCTGTCTCTAGGCTCTCAGTTTTTACAGCTGTAAAGTTCCAGTCTGGGGTGTGTGCTGGGCTAAGAGGGATGTGTTCAAAAGATAAGTCTCCTCTGTTGTTACCAGGTGCTTCATGGTCTAGGCCATGGTAGGGTAGCCCTATCTCCTGGGAACTGGTTGTGTTCTCATGACATAGCCTGAGTGTCTCAGCCCACTAGAGTGGCCATGTATAGCTTGGCAGTGAGGGTCCTTCTGGGGAGGAGGGGGGGCCAATACTCACAATCTTCTCCCGAGTACCCAATGATGGTGTCGGGCTCGGGACCCTTCCCAAAGTCATTTTCAGCCTGGACTCGGATCTCATAGGGTACGTAGACAGGGGTCTGCCCCACCACATAGCGAGAGCCCCACACCGTGACATTGTTCCAAGTCTCTCGGGTCTCTCTCCGCCGCCACTTGACAATGTAGCGCAGGTTGGGGCCAAAGGCAGAGGTAGCATTCATGGGCTGTGCAGGGAGAGACAGACAGGCAGGCAGACAGGGTGGACCAGGTGTTGGTAAAGCCACCTACAGCTTGCCCTCTCCATCTGGGCTAACACTCTATCTGGGCATGCCTGCTAGTGGCCACTCTTTTGCAGGGCAGGAGAGGCTACACTGCCTCTGCTGAGCCCCTGAACTGCCTAAAGTCATAGGAACTCTGCAGCATCCAGATTCCCTCTGACAAAGCTTTACCACAGAATTACTTTGAGTGCAAGCACCACCCACACTGCAGGTACATAGGGAGCCAAAGACTGATAACCATGATCTGCAGAGTCACAGAGGATTCTGACCAAACTACCCTCCTACTGACGAGCTCTGACTTCAGTTCTACTAAATCCGCCTGTCCATCTTGTCCTTCTCCACACATCAGAGCTCAGATGACTAGAACCCATTCATCCTACAGGTCTGGTTCAGGAATCAGGCTCCTAAAGCTTGACACACAGAGCCATACACCCAGATGACCAGAATTCAGGTTCAGCCCAAAGCTGTTGGTCATGACGTTGGAGGTCCAGGCTTCAGACTGACATGGCTGACAGTGACTCTGAGAAGCGCCACACCTCTTTGTCCCTTACTCATGACAGAGACTCAGCCCCACTTCAGTATCTGCATTTTCAGCTTTTGGTCTTGGGAGTGGTTTAGAAAAGGCCATTTCAAAAATAGACGTCCCAGTTTTAGTTTGGAAGGTGCAGACAGGGAGCTAGGTTGAAGAGAGGGGTTGGCAGAGCTAGCCAGAAGGAAACCTTCCTGTTCATTTAGCCCATGCTGTAGAAAGGACCTGGACCTTGTAATGGCGCCAGTGCTTCCAACAGCAAACGGTACAGAGCCAGCATGCATCAAGCTCGGTGCTGGTGCTTGCATTTCTTTCTTTCTTAAAGCCCACATCTCTTCTTCAAAACCAAACCATTTTAATTTGGTGGCTTTCTCGATGAATCTTGCTAGACTGGCAGCCTGTGGAATTTGGTGACCTCTGCTCCCATATCTGTTCTGAACTCCTGCTCCTAGACACTTTTGCTTGATTTCCGAAAGCTCAACTCCGAGACTAGCTTGGCTCTCAGAGGACAGTGGCCCCAATCAGTTAGAGCAGTGGTTCTCAACCTGAGGATGACAAACCCTTGGGGAGAGAGGCATTGAACATCTCTTTCACAGGGGTTGCCTATCAGATATTTATGTTACGATTCATAACAGTAGCAAAAGTACATTATGAGGTAGCAATGAAAATGAGTTTTTTTGTTCGGGGGTCACCACAACCTGAGGAAGGTACTACTAGGTCGTGGCATTAGGGAGGTTGAGAATCGCTGAGTTAGACAGTCTGAGCCATCCTACGGCACTAGGGGAGTAAGGAGTAGGGGCTCCCTGCTGCTAGGTGAGTGGCGGGGGTAGGTACTCTTACTGTCCATGTGATCTCCATATTGTTCTTCCTTGTCCCTTCTCCCTTCACATCGCTGGGATTCGATTCAGGAGCTGGAACACAAACAGATAAAGCTGAAATTCACCCTGAGCCTGCCCAGGGCATGAGGTGTGCCCTCCCACCTAACTGACCCCTTCTGTAACTCCTACTCCTCTCAGTTCCTAACTCTTTTTTTCTTCCATGAGTGATACACCTCCCTAAGACTTAAAACTCCCAAAATAGACCCAGTTTCTTTTCAACGTAATCCTTTACCAGATAGCACTTATCATGAAGCTTTCCACATCGCAGGTGGCATTGCTCTAACTCCATGTGCTGTTCCCTTCACAGATCAACCCTGAGTGTGTTTTGTGACATGCTGGCTTATTCTGGCATTTAATGTCTTGGGGCAAGCATTTCTACCTCTATGAGCTGGTGTGATCTCATGAATTTAACCATTCTCCTAGTGTATTAAATCTGACATAACACCAGATTATATACATATATCTTAAGTATGTCTCTGCCCCAGCTCTGCCCCTTTAAGCAGATAATACTGAATCATTAACAATAATAAAAATGACAGTTAAGATTTATTATGTATTTGTTATGTGACAGGCATCACAGTAAGTGCCTGGTACATATTTTCTTTCCTTTCCTTTCCTGTGCATCTCTGTGTGCGCACGTGGGGAGGTCAGGGGTCAATACTGATGTCTTCCCCAGTCACTCCCTACCTTATTTTCTGAGACAGGGTCTCTCACTGTACCTGGAACAGTGGCTCAGCTACAGTGGCCAAGCAGCAGACCCCAGAGAGTCCCCTCCCCTCCCCCAGTCTCCACCTCACTAGTGTTGGGGTTACAGGTGAGTGCCACCACGTCCACCTTTCACAAGGGGGTTGAACTCAGATCCTCAGGTGGCACAGCAGACATTTTACTAACTGAACTGCCTTCCTGGCCCCAAGACACATTTTCTTCTCTATCACATTTATTGTTTGTTTGTTTAGTGTGTGCATGTGTGAGAGTCAGTCATCTCCTTCAACCCATTGGGTACCAGGGATCGGACCCAGGTCATCAGACTTGGCAGCTAGTGCCTCTACCCACTCAGCTATCTCTCCAGCTATTTAAAGTGAGAGTCCTCACCGCAGACCTGAGAGGTATGTGTTGTTATCACTCTGTTTCATAGGTGAGGAAGCCAGGCTTTGGGAAGGCAAGTAACTTGCCTAAGTACCCATGGCTGGGGTGGGGAGTCAGTGAGAACTCAGGGAGCCGGGAGCTCAGGTACTCACGCGCTCCACTGGTCCGGTAGCGCTCAGATGGAAGGCTGGGGTGGCTGCTCCCAACCTCGTTGACAGCGATGACTCGGAATTGGTAGTTGACATATGGGGACAGATGGAGGATGGCTGAGTTGACGCTGCCTGGGAACTTGGAGTGGTCATGCCAGACCCCTGGTTGGAACTGGTCCTCTTCAAACTGGATGACGTAGTCTGAGTGGACAAGGAGGACAGAGCTGTTTTGGGAGTCACAAAATCCTGCTTTAGAAGCGCATCCTTCATGGCTTCCGTTTATCTTTCTCATCTCCCTAGGATAGACAGGGGCACACCAAGAAGCCTTCCCAAGTCACAGGAGGGAGCTAAGGTCTCCTTGCATGTGTATGAGGCAGAGGTGGAAGCAGACACTAGTGGGCCCTGGTCCCCTGCTGTTACATTACCAGCTCTGGCTTGAGAGCACAGGCCCTGGGCTGACCTGTGATGGGGCTGTTGTTATCGTCGCCTGGGATCCAGGTCAGCCTCACACTCCTCTCGGCCAGGTCAGTGAGCTCCAAGTCCCTGGGTCGGTCTGGCCTCCCTGGCAGCAGAGGAAAAAAGACATCACTCTGAGCTCCCGAGTGATAGCCAGGCCCTCTCCTTGGGGTAGTAATAGTCCCGGATAGGTCCCTGAGGGTCTCAGGTCTCTAATGCCAACAGATGGAACCTCAGCCTATTTGGAGGGCCAGTGCAGAGACCACCCCTTCCCCCGAGTAGACAAAGGAGAAGCAAGAATATAAAAGAATATGAATCAAGGAAGTAAGGACCAGGCAGGGCAGATTCAGGGCAGGGCAGAGCAATTTGTCCTGTTTTCTTGGATCTTTTAGAAAACACACACTGGGGAAAGGCTGCTGCCTTTGTGAGAGAGGCTGGTGGTAAATTTAAAGTATAGGGTTTTCTGGTCTCATTTTTCATGATGTCCATTTGTTTTTCTGAATGCCAGGACTCTCAGGACTGCAGCTCAGGGGAGCTCTACAATGCTAGCAGGGCAGATAGACGAGGAAAGTGGGGAGGGTACAGAGAAAGGTCAGGCCCACCCGGAACGCTTAGTCTGGACTAAGTGAGGGCGTAGAGCAGAGGGAGCCAGAGGAGTAATGCGAACATCATTTTTGGTGGGGAGGGGTTGTTCCAGTGTGTATCGACATTATCCTGGCTTTGGAAGAGAATGATCCAGCTATAGAATGGAGGCAAATTTCCTCCACATTTTACCTCCCTGAACTGGCTATTTCTACAGACCTAGAACACTGTTTCTCAAGCTGTGGGTCGCAATTCCTTTGAGGAGTTGAATGACCCTTTCACAGTGGTAGCCTAAGACTACCAGAAAACACAGATATTTATATTATGATTCATAAAATAAGTAAAATTAGAGTTTAGTTATGAATTAGTAATAAAAATAATTTTATGGTTTGGGGTCACCACAACATGAAGAATTGTATTAGAGGATCTCGGCATTAGGAAGGTTGAGAACCGCCAGCCTAGATAGTGAGTCATTTAAGTTCACATTGTGTGTGAGTGTGTGTGTGTGTGTGTGTCCGTCCTCATGAGGGTTGGAGCAGTATATAAATGAATAGCAGTAGATGTGTGGCAGTCTGAATTGATGAGCCTCTGGGGAATAATCTGCAGAAGCTTTCCTGAGTGGGCGTAGGCACATGAGGTGTAGCTAGGGGCCGACAGCAGGCACTTTAAGGCAGAGATAAGTATGGTGAAAGGAAAGGAGATAAATGGTTGTCCAGACTTGAATCCAACCTGTAGAAGGAGCCTTTGGCAGGGTTGTGACATGGGTCATGGAGACAGGTGACGGTGGGTGCCTGAGGGTCATGGGTCACATGTGAGACATGTGATGTGTTGTCTACCCGCTTGTAATGTGCAGTCTTCTGAGCACAGTCTTCCTCAATTCCACCCCTGGGCACCAGAGTCCCTGATTAGTACAAATTACCTTTGGGTAGGGCAGCCAAACGGTTAGTTGGAGTGGCCTGATCAGCTGCAAAGGTAAGATGGGTTATCCAGGTTAGCAGGTTATCAGGGCTAAAGGGTCCTAGAAGGATGCAGATGGGTAGCCAAGGCTTTTGTAGCTGTTTGGGCAATCCCACCTCCCAGGTGACTTCTCGTGTTTCTCCCATGGGCTAGAGTGGAGTGGGCCCACTGTGGCCAGCAAGTACAACCTCCACTGCAGGAATCCAGAGAGGGATTGGGACAAAGGTGAGAGCTGAGGACCTGTTCCACTGGGAGGGGAGCCACCTTCCCTCCTGTTTAGACTGGTTTGGTATTTGCAGTCCAGCTTGGACAGGAAGGGATGACATCATCTTATTCAATGTATGGTAGTGTGAAATGCCACCAAAACCAGGGAGCAGTGTAGGAGGGGAATGAAGCTGGAGGAGATGTGTGCACATACCACACACACCCTACTCTCTCTGCTACACTTCCACATACACTACACACACACACACACACACACACACACACACAATACAGCCCCCTCACATACACACGCCACACTAGCCCCCACTCCATCCCACACACACACCACTTAAACATACCACACACACACACATACACACTCTACACCACACACAATTCATCATCATCATCTTGGTCTAGCAATGTTGCAGGGTGACTTTAGTCAGCTTGGTGGTGGTGGCTGTAAGAGAGCAGAAGAGGCAGAAGTCACTCCACTTCCTGCCATTCCACACCCTCAGCTGGAATTGGGAAGTCAAGGACCTCACTCGGGAGACAGGACTGTTCTCCTCAGTGGATTTGAAAGTGGCAGCTCCTAATCCAGAGAACTGAAGAGCGCTGACTAAGCATTGCCCCAGAGACCACCCAGTGCTCACGGCTGCTCTGGCTGCTGGCAAGCAGGGGAAGGGTTTTTAGTGCTCCTGTGAGCAGCAGCTGTTACCTAGGACAGTGAGGTAGGCCTTGGCTAGGTCCTGGTCCAGCTCGGTGCTGGCCATGCACGTGTAACTGCCTTGGTCCCGCTCTGCCACGCCAAAGATGGTCAAGGAGTCATCTTCCTTCTTCATCCTGCAAGGTGCCAGGCTGAGGTTGGCAGGAGGGTGGCTCCCATACTGGGCATAGCTGATACCTTCTTCCCACAAAGGGGTAGTGAGAAGGAAGCTAAAGGAGGTGGCAGGGCCAGGTGAGAGCATGGTGTGAGGTACCATCGCAACACTGACTAGATGCAGGAGAAAAGAGAGTGGATTGGATGCTCCTCAACATCCAATCTGTACCCATTTCTGAGTCTTCCTTGTGCTGTATACACGTCCAAATAAGGTACCATTACACTGACAACCCAAGACAGGCTGGTGTCTCTCCTCTTCCCCTACATGTTTTGTCCTGTGTACCAGTTTCAAGTGCTCTGTCCCTGTGCTCCTATGGCTTGTTCCCACCAGGAACAGGGAGGGGGCATCCTAGAGCAATACAGGATTGTTTTAAAGCTTTCAGAACAAATGGGTGCTGGATGCCCTGGCACACAGGCAGGGTGCAGCCTTTCATGAAGCTGGGTGAGACTGGGAATGGATGGTACCTTACTGCGTAGAAGAGAGACAGTAAAGAGCCTGGGAACAGGAGGCTGGTATCAGTGGTTTTCAATCCCGACTGCACATTACAAAACACCCAGGGTCCTTTAAACACCATCAGTGCCTGAGTCCTCACACCAATAAAATCAGAACTGGGGTGCAGGAGGTGCAGATGGGGGCACTGTCAAAGCATCCAGAGGATCTAGGATCCGGGCATTGCACTGATGAAGTAGAAGAAGCCAGACATGCCCTCTAGTGGTGAGCAGGGGCACTACAAGCAGAACTGAGAATTGGAGCATAGATATGAAAAGAAGATGTAAAAGGGAGGAAGAAAAGTGAGAGAAAGGGTGAGGAAGAAAGAAGGTGGGAGAGAAGAGGTGAGAGAGAGAGCAACAGGTAGCTGATGATAAGAGAAAAGGGTTGCCCCTGAGGAAAAGGTCACCAAGGCCATCACCACTCCTAGTGGCTCCTAGTGACATGGGTGACACTGAAAGCAAAACGTTCCCTTAGATGTGAGTAAGGAGTCAAGATGGAGGGCAGAAACCTGTTTCCAATGTAGAGTGGTTCATCGTCCTTCAGCCAGGAGACAGTGAGCTTCAAGGAGGGGTCATGCTTCACTCGGCACTCCAACTGCACTGTGGTGCCCCTCTTGGCCACCTGGTCCTCGGGCATTCTGTAAATCCTCGTGGGGTCTATGAAGAAGACAACTGGAAAGCTGACCACTGATCTCTTCTCTGCCCACCAGCCCCAGTGTGGACATGTAGTGTGACATGCCTGACCCTAACATGTCCAAGCTGTAAGACATGGTGGGGAGTTTCTGTGTGTAGGGTAATCAAAACCCCCAAATAGTTCTCTGGCTCAGAAATCCATGATGTGAGTGGTAGTGGCGGTGGTGGTGGGGAGCTAGGTGAGCCTCTGGATCAGGTTGGGAAGCCACTCTTGGGTCAACTGCAGTCACTGATCAGACCTTAGGCAGGGGTATTTCCAAAAGCACTTGCACCTATGGATACCTGTGAGCATGGTTTTAATTGCCCTGCCTGAATTCCCACTAGTGAACCCCCTTGCTTACCTTTGACCTCCAGGCGGACTTGATTTTCAGCTTTGCCCAGGATGTTGGTGGCCACACATGTGTAGATGCCTTGGTCCTCTTTGCGAATCATCTTGATTTCTAGACTGCCATTTTCGTAGACGTGGTAGTTACCACCATCCAGGTTGCTTCCTTGCCCATTCTTAAACCTCACAACAGAGCAGCAAACACAGCACACTGAGAAAGGACTGGTCTGAGGGAGCCAGGGGGCAGCAGAGGCCATGGTGGGCTTGTGGGGGAGTCCTGCATCTTGCAGGCTCTGCCTATAACCACTAGCTGGCTCTGGAGAGACTCACGCCCCCTCTGAACAACATGGGGGTTCACCCAGATGGCCAGCTTTGGCTGTTTAAGGATCCCAGGTCTTGCTGGTTCCACCTACAGGGCAGAAGGGAAGCAAGAAGACAGACAAACCTGCTGGGGAAACCTGTTCTCCTGGGACTTACCATCGGAGTGTTGGAATGGGAGACCCAAAGAATGGACAGTCCAGTCGTGTCCGGTTGTAAAGGATCACCCTGATGAGCTGGTTCCGGGGAGACAGCATCCGCGGGGGCACATCTGAAAGCCCAGACGGCCACTTTGCCGATATGCTGTGGCGAACAACCCTTCCCCTCCTTCCTTGCTCTTAGTATGGCATGCCTTCCTCTTACAGCAGCTTCCCAGACACCTGGACACCCTTCCTTTCTCCATCCCTTTCCTTTACAAGCCTTGTCTAAGGGAAACCTATCCAACCTACAGCCTCTCGGGCCCAGGTGCCCCAGAAGCATCGGAAATGCTGCCCCAAATATTTGTAGACCACAGTCATGTTACAACGTCAAAGGACGACATCCTTGCTGTTTGGGTGAGGGAGGAGTGCATTCATCTATCTGTCTGTCCCACATCTGCCCCACATCCAAACTAGCTTTTTCAAAGGGATTCCACAAATTATCCCATGGCTTCTGGAGTTGATCCTCCACAACCCTGAGACATGCTCTATCTGCCAGTTCCCACTCCCTCTCCTTGTTCTGGAGTGCAGCAGCCAGCCTTCGAAGCACTCCCTACCCAGCTTCTCTGATGGAATGAGCTCTAGGGTCATCTGGCTCAGTGGAGTGCAAGTCCTCCATTCATGCTCCACACGTCCCCAAGCCTGCCCAGCACTCCCAGGCTACAGAGAAGAAAATGTACCCTGTGGCATCACTACACTCCAGGAGACCCCACTGTCAGAAGGTATGCTCACCCAACACACTGACGAAGGCATTGGCCAGCAGGTAGCCATGTTCATTGGATGTGTTGCACTGGTACACTGCCCTGCTGCTGATCTGAGTGTCCCGGAAGATGATGGTGTCTCCAGCCACCTCGCGGTTGGGGTTGGGTGGTGCCGCTACAGGTAAGAAAGATTTCCCATAAGAAACTGGGCAGCATAAAGGGCATGCAGGGCTCTCTGGACAGGGCCCAGATATGCTGTGGAAGAGGCAGCTGGGTAGACCCACGTAGACCCAGCTTCCAGACTCAGCACTGCCAAAGCACATGACCTGGGCCCTGAGAGAGTTTGTTTCTCAGTCTATCATCTGGTGGGAATCTGAATCTTTGCTTTATCCAGGCAATAGCTAGGCAACTACAGGCAATAGCTGTGGTTGAAGATAAGAACTATGGAAACAGACTAACTTTGTAAATAAGAATCTGAGTATATCTCCAGCCAGCACTGTGAACAATGTCTGCTTCAGTTTCTGGTCTGTGGAGTTTTGTGAAGATCCTGTAAAGTGATTAGTGGAAGGCCCAGCAGGACTGTATTGTGTTTACTCGATTTATTTAGTTAATTAACTTCCTGAGACATGGCCTTGTTAAGTAGCTCTTGCTGACCTTGAACTCACCTGTAGCCTAGGCTAGCCTTAAACTCATGGCAATTCTCCTGCTTTAGTGCTAATCATTGGGATTGCAGGAACGTGTCTGACATTCACTCATTACAATTTTAATCCAATGTAGCTTGACATGAATATAGCAGCATCCAAATGCCCCAAACCCATTGTCTTCCCATCCTCTGGGCAGAACACTCTCATATACAAAGCTGCCCACCTGCCAGAGCTTCATGCCATCTGAGTCTTCATGCTTGCAAAATTCTTCCTAAGAAAAGTAGCCTATGTACAGAGAGGCCATTCTTGTCTATTGTTCTTCTGTATTGCTGGCTTCGGGGAGCTATAGACCCTGTGCATATGTCACTCTGGGACTTGGGACAAATCAAGCAATATGTCCCTCTTGAGGGAGCATCATTTCCATCAGATTGAGGGGAGGGGATGATGAGGAGTTATGAAACAAAAGCTTTCCAGAAATGTAAAGAATAGCAACTTTTCTTGTTTGTAACCACTGGAAATATCTGGGCTTGGCAGCAAATACTTCGGCTTGCTGAAGCTGAGGCTGAGGCTGAGGCTGTGGGCTCACTGGGATTGCTCAGACCTACAAAGGAACAGAAGTCTGGCCTGACGGCGCCACTCAACAGATGAGAATCTGGGGACTCAGCAGAAGGTAAATAAAGGCACAGTCAGTGTCTTATCATTTTTTTTTTTTTTTCTGAGTACTCTGGGACCTACTCAGCAAAAAGCCACTACGGAAGTGGCGCCACCAACCCTCCTTGCCTGGCCAATTTCATGAACCCAATTTCCCTGCCAGTCACTTCTCTTGGGCACTTCCTGCAGAGGCTGACAGATGACTGCAGGATCAAGGCTCAGCTGCCAGCCCTGGGCTGTATCTACAGGACAGTGCTTTGAAGTGTCCCATCACTGCCTGCTTCCCACAAAGTCTATAAAGACAGAGGAGTGTGGACCACAGGCTGGGGCTACATCTCTGCTCGTAGTGGGGTAATAAGACTTCCTGCGGATAGCTACAGATTCAGTTTTAGCTGGTGCAAGCCCTCTCCAGTCCAATGCAGTCCACAGTTCCCCCGCTTACCAGCCCTGTGGCCCTCTGCAATTCAGAGCCTTGACTGCTCACCTGCTGTGTTTGAGAGGCTGCAAACACAGCGCTAGCAAGCTGCACCCCCTTGCCTGTCTCCCGTTTCTTCACCTGTTCCTTTTCCTTGACTATTTTAAAAATGATTTTTTTACTTAGCATATAAAAATGATGAGATGATATTCTCACACACACACAATGTACTTTGATCACATTCTCCCCCCACTCCTCTCATCTCCGCCTCCCCACTGCTCCCCTTTCCACCCCCAGTCTCCTTTCTGATGTCATACCACATACACATTGTGTTTAGTTCTTCAACTACATGAGGTTTTTGTCTTTCTTCCCCTCCTATTGCCTTCTCTTGTCTTCCCATATCTTCTTTTTCAACAACTTCCTCCCTTTTCACAGATGTCTACTTTTGTGTTCTTGTGTATATGCATGCATATTCATATTTAAGCCCAGATTCCACACGTGAGAAAACATGGAACATCCGAGTCTAGCTTACTTCACTTAACATGGTACCAATGGTTGATCTTCATGTCTGAATAAAACTCATTGTGTCTATGCATCATGTTACTCTCTATCTGTTCATCTGTGGATGGGCAAAGAGGCTGCTTCTGTGTCTTGGCTGTTGTGAAGGGCTCAGCTAAAGCGTGGATGTGCCAAGTATCTCTGTGGTGTGCTGAAGTGTATTCTTTGGAGTATATGCTCAGGAATGATACAGCTTAATTATACAGTAGTTCTATTTCTAGTTTTGTAAAGGTATTTTGTTTTGTGTGTGTACACATGCCAGAGTGCACTTGTAGAGGTCAGAGGGCAGCTTTTGAAAGTTGGTTCTCCCCTTCTATCATGAGCACCTTGGGGTTCAAACTCAAGTTGCCAGACTTGGCAGCAGGTGCCTGAGTCTTCTGAGCCACCTCACCTGCCCAAACACAAACATGTTAGGTCAGGATGAAGGTTGTTATAATATGTGTGATGTGTGATCAGAGGACACGTTCATTGAGTTGGTTCTTTCCTTCCATTTTTATGTGGGCTCCAGGGATGTGCTCAGGCTGTGGCAAGCACCTTCACCTGTGAGCCATCTCGACAACTCTATCCCAGTGTGTGCACGTGCAGCGACAGTTCTGGGAGTTTTGTTCCTTTAAGAAACACAGCAACAGTATAAGAATATGTTTTTGTTTCAATAGCATGGGGTGGGGTGGGAATAAAGAGTGGGAAAAAGAGAAACCCACACTGTAGCAAAGACAAGCTGCGTGTGTGCGTGTTTAGACAGAGATCTCTTTATGTAACCCTGATTGACTTGGCTTGGAACTCCATACATAGAACAGTCTGGCCTTCAACCTCACAGAGATCCACCTGCCTCCGCCTCCCATGTGCTGAGACTAAAGGCGTGCACCATCATGCCCAGCACCAATTTTGGTTCTTTTCAGAATTTCTGCACTGGTTTCACACTGGCTGCCCCAGTTATCAGCAGAGTACAGATGAGTTCCTCTTTCCTCATCTTCATCATTCTTGTTTCAGTCCAATTGCAGGTTTTTTTTTTTGTTTTTTGTTTTCACTCAGACACAGATTTCCCCAATTGCAGTTTTAATTTCCATTTTCCTGATGGCTAGGGATGTTGAATGTGTTTTCTGTGTTTATTGGTTATTCGTATTTCTTCTTTTGAGAACTACCTGTTCAGTTAGTCTGCCCGTTTGCTGATTGGATGGCTTGTTTTCCTGGTGTTACGTCTTGTAGTTCTTCAGAGTCTAGTACTCTCAGGTGTAGGGTTGGTGAACCCCGACCCCTGCTCTGCAGGCGGTGGCTCCACTCGGCTAGCTGTCCCCATCGCCCTGCAGAGTCTTCCTAGTACACACAATGTGCCTATCAATTCCTGGAACTGTTTCCAGAGATGCCACAGTCTCTGGCAGAAGGTCCTTGTCTGTGCCTACATCTTCAAGTGCTTCACGTTTTCCTCTAACAGTTTCAGGCTTTACATTAAGATCTTTGATCTGTTTTGCATTGATTTTTGTATAAGCTGAGAGGGATGGATCTAGTTTTTCTTTTTCATGTGGACAGCCAGTGTTTCTAGCACCGCTTGTTAAAGAGGCTGTCTCCTTATCAATGTATGCTTTTGACGCCTTTGCCAAAAATTAGGTTGCTATGGTTGTGCGAGTTTCCATTAGGGTTCTGTATTCTAGTTCATTGGTCTGTTTGTTTTGTTCCAGAACCATGTCGTTTTCATTACTATAATTCTGTAGTATAGTTTGAGATCAGGTATAGTGACATCTCCAGTATCTCTCCCACCCATGAATTTCTGGCTAAGGTGGACCTGTCCTTGAACTGAGCCAAAGCCAAACTTCCTTAGATGGTCTCTGTCAGACACTTTATCACAGTGACAAATAATTAATACTGATGTCCTTCTAATTTCTAATGTTGTCTTTAACATTTAAGAAACAATGTTTCTTCTTTCTTTCTTTCTTTCTTTCTTTCTTTCTTTCTTTCTTTCTTTCTTTCTTTCTTTCTTTCTCTCCTTCCATCCTTCCTTCCTTCCTTCCTTCCTTCCTTCCTTCCTTCCTTCCTTTCTTTCTTTCTTTCTTTCTTTCTTTCTTTCTTTCTTTCTTTCTTTCTTTCTTTCTTTCTTTCTTTCTTTCATATTTACTACTATTCACTTTGTATCCCAGCTGTACCCCCCTCTCCAGTCTCCTCTCAGTCCCACCCATCCTCTCTCTTCTCACCCTATGATGCACTCCACTGATAGGGGAGGACCTCCACCCCTTCTATCTGACCCTAGGTCTTATCAGGGCTGGCTGCATCATCTTCCTCTGTGGTCTGGCAAGGCTGCACTCCACAGAGAGAGGTGATCAAAGAGCTAGCCACTGAGTCCATGTCAGAGACAGCCCCTGCTCCCTTTACTAGGAAACCCACTTGGAAACTGAGCAGCTTATGGGCTTCATCTGAGGGGGTCTAGGTCCTTTCTATGAATGGTCCTTAGTTGGAGCATTGGTCTCTGCAGGCCCCCCTGGGCCCAGGTTTTTTGGCTCTGTTGGACTCCTTGTGGAGTCTCCAGGTCTTGCTATCTTCCCTATACTCTGCCCAAAGTTTGGCTTTGATTACCCTGATGGGTAGAGTCTTTCAGAGGCTTCCTGTGGAAGGCTCCTGTCCTGTTCCCTGTCTTCTCCTACTTCTGATGTCTATCATGTTTGTCTTTCTGAATGAGGTTTCAGCCTCTTCCCTAGGGTCTTCCTTGTTGTTTAGCTTCTTTAAGACTATAGATTTTAGTATGTTTATCCTATAGTATATGGCTAATATCCACTTATAAGTGAGTATAAAGATCATCCTGAGTGAGGTAACTCAGAAGCAGAAAGACACATGTTCTAAGTTTTAATTGTGGCACTCTTTCACCTTCTTGGTTAAACTAATCACTGGCGGGGGGGGTTGTTTTGTTGAGACTATTGT